TTTTTTAAATATAAAAATAAAATCGACCTGGTATATTATTACTCGAGTCAACCATCTTTATATGTGTGTCCATGTTTCTCTTTGTGTTCTGTGTTGGTCTCCAACTCCTGACCTCGAGCAATCCGCCTGCCTCGGCCTCCCAGAGTGCTAGGATTACAGGCATGAGCCACCGCGCCTGGCCTAGAACTAACTGTAATTTTTTTAAATATAAAAATAAAATCAACCTGGTATATTATTACTCGAGTCAACCATCTTTATATGTGTGTCCATGTTTCTCTTTGTGTTCTGTGTTCATCCTCCATCCTGTAAACAGGCCTCGACACAATGCCATGAACAAATTCTTTAGTATGTAATGTTTCTGGACATTCTCTTTGATAACAAAAAATAAATTTTAAAAAGGAAAAAAAAAAATAAGTAGCTACTCTCCTCTCAGGTATGCCTCAACTACTCTCCCCTACAACTATTGACTTGATCTTTTGTCCAAGGCCTGGCTAAAACAAAGACAAAAACACCCCACAACAAAACTGGAGGGTGGAGTGGGTGGGAGATTACAGGTGCACTATGACTGTATATCATCCTCATGCAGAAGGGGAACAAAGGTAACGGGTTTGCAGTAGGGAGAACCAAGCACTCAGTGAGTAGGAATAGAAAAGAGAGTTTAAATATCGGGAGGATCAAAGAAGTAGATGAAAAGATGTGAAGTCTTTATGAAATGAATTTGACTTAGCATGCCTTTCCTCTTTATTTTTCCAGTCCTTTAGAGTTATGCTCCAATGCTCCCCTCTTCCAGGAAGAGGCACCTATTTCTTATAATTCATTCATCCAACAATATTTTCTTGTTTTTGCCAGGCAATGCGAAGCAAAACAAGTTTTAAAAAAGAGAAATGTAATACTAATACAATTGAGTTATATACTGTCGATGTCCCCTTCTCATGCAGGAATGCATTAATAGTAAAACAAGATGAAACTGTGGTGGACAGAGCCAAGGCTAATGCCTCCCTTTGGGAAGCCAGATTGGAAGTCACAGAACTCTCTAGGATTGAGTATCGTGATACTTCTCGGAGACTGGCAAGAACTAACGAAGACTTGAAGAAACAGCAATATAAAATGGAGAAAGATACAATGTCTATATTAAGCTACCTGAGGAAGCAGGATCAGGAGAAAGATAATATGGTAGGTAGGTAGAAAAGCCTCCTGCGCCTCACAAAGTGCCTCTGTGGTTATATGACATGGTTATGTTGTTCAAGGATTTTAATTTCTTGAAATGTCATTGCATAGTTAAGACATTTCAGTTGACTTAACTCTCCTTGAAGCAAGATGCTTTTTTTTTAGACAATGTCTCACTCCGTCACCCAGGCAACAGTGTGATCATAGCTCACTGTAGCTCCCATTCCTGGGCTCAAGTGATCCTCCTGCCTCAGCCTCCCGAAGTGCTAGGATTACAGGTGTGAGCCACTCACTGCGCTCAGTCCAAGATGCTATTTTGTAATGCTTTATTGTTATTGGCTCTTTCTTTTTTTTTTTTTTTTGGAGACAGAGTCTTGCTTTGTTGCCCTGGCTAGAGTGAGTGCCATGGCGTCAGCCTAGCTCACAGCAACCTCAATTTCCTGGGCTCAAGCAATCCTGCTGCCTCAGCCTCCCAAGTAGCTGGGAGTACAGGCATGCGCAACCATGCCCGGCTAATTTTTTTTTTTTTGTATATATATATATTAGTTGGCCAATTAATTTCTTTCTATTTATAGTAGAGATGGGTCTGCCAACTCCTTGCTGCAGGCTGGTTTCGAACTCCTGACCTCGAGCAATCCGCCCACCTCGGCCTCCCAGAGTGCTAGGATTACAGGCGTGAGCCACCACGCCCGGCAGCTCTTTCTTATTTACAGTCCTTGTTGCTTGTTTTCTTATCTGAAATAAATAGAGATTGATGATTATAGGGGAACATTATGATCCACTTTAAGGACAAGAACATGTTACATGACCTATATATTTTATATATTTCTTATTTAATCCTTTTAATAACCCAGTATAGCTATAATATTGTTATAATCATTTTACAGATGAAGAAATTGACTCTCAGAAAGGACCAGTAACTTACCCAAAGTCACACAGCTAGTGAATGTTAAAAGTAGAATTCAAGTGTAACTACATTCTTCCCTTTCCTATTTGCTTCTGTAAGCCCCACAGAGACCCAAGGAAATTTCTACCTTGCTAAGGATGGTGTGCTTCCTTCCTATGTACGTTTTTGTACTTTTGCTTCCATCAACAACACATACTGTAGTCTTGTTTCAAAATGTACATAAATGGTATCATATTGTACATATCTTTTGTAACTTTTTTCACTCAATATTTTGTTTTTGTGATTTTTCAGAAAAATCAATGATTCAGTTCATTCATGTTCTTAAAAATTATAACAAGAATGGTCTATGTTTTTGTTCATTCTTAACTGCTTTATAATATCACATTAAGTAAATAAATAAAAATTTATTTATCCTTACCTGCCCCTCCCACCCCCTTACCCTTATCCTTACCCACCCCCGTTGGTCAGTTGGACGCCATTCTTTCATTGTTACAAACAGACCTTCAGTAAACATTCCTGTGTATGTCTGTGCTCATGTATGAGAGCTTCTCTAGAGTAGACACCTATTAGTGAAATTATTATTAATACATTATGGGGTATACACATCGCCAACTTCACAAGGGCTTAAATTGAGCTCCAAAGGGGTTATATCAATTGATCCTATCATAAGCATTGTATTAGAGTGAGTTCCTATTTACCTACATTTTTGTCAGCACTTGACACTATTATATTACTTAATAGTTTTTGCCAGTTTTATGAATGTAAATTATCTCATTGTTGTTTTAATTATATATTTTCCTGATTATTAGTTGCTTGAACATCTTTTATAAATTTCTTCATCCATTTTTTATTGTTCATATGTTTACTTCAGTACACATGAACTAATATTGGAGTGATGCAGAGGGTGGCTCCTACATAAGGATGACACGCATATTCATGAATCATTGCATATTTTTTTCAAATGCCACCTTCTCAGCGAGCCTTCCACATCACCCTGTTTAAATATTAAAACCACTGCCACTTTAGCACTATATAACGTCTACCCCTGTTTTATTTATACACGTTACTTACATATTTGTTTATTGTACCTTTCTCTAATTAGAATGAAATGTCACAGAAGTAAAGAATTTGGGGCCTTTTTTTGGTTCGATGCTGTATCCCTAGCACTTAGCACAGGGTCTGGCATGTAGTAGGCCTGCATTAAAATTTTTTGCATGCATGAATGAGTGGCTTGTGTACTGATGCTTTGGAAAAGTTAATAATCAAAACTAAGTTCAAGAGGATATTAGAGAAATTAGATGAAATTAGAGAAATGATGAAATTAGAGAAATCAAACAATTGAACATTTGTGTGGATTTCATATATTAAAGTATAATTTTTTGTGCACTGACATCTATTTTTTACTTTCTCAGACAATTTCAATTTTAAAAATTACTCTTTGAATAGAAAGTAGTATCAAAATTGTCTTCTATAGAGTTTTGTTCTAAAGTAAGCTTTTGCGCTAACCATACAAATTATTTTCAAAATTCATTACATAGGCCGGGCGCGGTGGCTCACGCCTGTAATCCTAGCTCTCTGGAGAGGCGAGGCCAGTGCGGATTGCTTAGAGTCAGGAGTTCGAAACCAGCCTGAGCAAGAGCGAGACTCCGTCTCTACTATAAATAGAAAGAATAATTGGCAACTTAATATGTATAGAAAAAATTAGCCGGGCATCGGGTGGCGCTGCCTGTAGTCCCAGCTACTGGGAGGCTGAGGCAGAAAGGATTGCTAAGCCAGGAGAGTTGAGGTTGCTGTGGAGCTAGGCTGATGCCAGGGCCACTCACTCTAGCCTAGGCAACAAAGTGGGACTCTGTCTCAAAAAAAAAAAAAAAAATTCATTACATAGAAACCTTGTGACCTATATTAGCTCATTAATTAGTATTGGTCTACATTTATCAATATCACTTATATTTCCTAATTCTCTTCTGCCTTTATATATCCAAGGTCAGCACCTGGCTGTAGCAAATGGGTAATTTCCTTACATTCATCATGGATTGCCATTAAGCCCAAAGGAATGACCTTGGGAGGAGGAAGCAAAGTAGTTTAAATTATTATTACATGTTAAACTACAGCACTCTCCCATGGTTTTGTTACTTATTCTTCTTTATCCTAGAAATGTATTCTCTTAAACTTTATTTAAACTGTTTATATTCTTATTTCATGTTAATAATAGAAATATTAGAAATGAAGTGTTTTAAAAACTTTTATCTTGAACAAAATTAGGAGATTTTTTCTTAAGATTGGGTTTTTGTATTTAAGGATTCATTGAATCAATCACAAAATCTCATTACATGTCATACCTGTTCTATATGACTTAGGACTGTCCCAGTTTATTTTTTAGAATTTCCAGGTTTTCCTTAAGCTCTGGTCTAAGATATATTTACAACAGTATCTCAACTTCTGTATCCTTGATTCTATAACCATGTCAATGAGTCTTTCATTTAAAAGCCTACTCAAGTTCCCTATTAAAATGAAGTAGCATTCCTTGGAGAAATGTTTGATTCCAGGACTAGGGCAGAGAATGTAAAAGATGAGCCTGGAATATCTTGTTCCAGGAAATAAAAAATGTTAAAGGACTTGGGGGTTAGTTTGAAGGGGCTGCCATTGGCCAAATCTGGGACAATCAAAATAAATAATGACAGTAATAGATTATAACCAATCAAACAAAATAAGAATCCATGAGTTTTTACTACTAATAAATACAACATTAATAAATAAGGGATAGGCTGGGCGCGGTGGCTTACGCCTGTAATCCTAGCACTCTGGGAGGCCACGGCAGGTGGATTGCTCAAGGTCAGGAGTTTGAAACCAGCCTGAGCAAGAGCGAGACCCCATCTCTACTATAAATAGAAAGAAATTGGACAACTAATATATATAGAAAAAATTAGCCAGGCATGGTGGTGCATGCCTGTAGTCCCAGCTACTTGGGAGACTGAGGCAGCAGGATCGCTTGAGCCCAGGAGTTTGAGGTTGCCGTGAGCTCGGCTGATGCCATGGCACTCACTCTAGCCTGAGAAACAAAGTGAGACTCTGTCTCAAATAATAATAATAATAATACAATACAATACAATACAATACAATAAAAAAAAGGATAGTGCGTGCCTGTAATCCCAATCACTTGGAAGTCTAAGGCAGGAGGATTGCTTGAACCCAGGAATTTTGAGGTTACAGTGAGCTATGATCAGGCCACCTCACTCCAGCCTGAGCTGCAGAGTGAGATCGTGTCACTAAATAAATACGGAATAAAGGAAAGCTTCTTCTTATAGTAGAATGCCAATTAGCAAATTTCCAAGGAGTGATTAAAGGAGTGAGTTTTAAAAAATCATTATGTGGCATCATAGTAATAACTGAATCAGTCAAGAATCACCAGTGGATGCTGAAACTATTGGGTGAAAGTTTAATGAGGATAATTGCATAGTTTCAAAATATCTTCCACAAAATAATTACAAAAGAAAAAAATAGTAGCATTTAGGTAGAGAAAGCTGGCAGACACAATCCTAACCAATTGACTAAATTAACATCAATCACCTCATGATGTGATGTACTGAAAAAGACACATAATCACTTAGTATGTGCCTGCCAAAAATGCATGACCCAAATCTATTCCTGAGGAAGCATCAGACAAGCCAAACCCTGGCCAAGATTCTTAAAACAATAACAATTTAAAGACAAAGACTGAGAAACTGTTCCAGATTAAAGGAAACTAAGACACATGATAACTAAATGCAATTCGTGATCAAGGGTTATATCCTGGATCAGAAAAATAAAAGTTGCAATAAAGTACATTATTGGGACAATTGGTGGCAGAATTTAAATATGGAGTATACATTAAATAATAGTATATCAATGTTAAATTTCTTGATTTTGATAATTGTACTGTGCTTACAAAAGGGAATGTCCTTTTTCTTAGAAAATACTGAATTATTTAGGGGTAAAGGAGCATGATGTCTGAAACTTATTCTTACATGGTCCAGGAAGAAATTATATATACACGTGTATATATAGATAAGAGAGAGGGAAAGCAAATGTGGCAAAATTAATGTATATGAGTGAAGAATATGTGGAAACTCTTTGTATTCTATTTATTTATTTATTTATTTATTTATTTATTTATTTATTTATTTATTTATTTATTGAGACAGAGTCTCACTCCATTGCCCAGGCTAGACTGCCATGGCGTCAGCCTACCTCAAAGCAACCTCAAACTCCTAGGCTCAAGCGATCCTGCTGCCTCAGCCTGCCGAGTAGCTGGGATTACAGGAACGTGCCACCATGCCCAGCGTTTTTCTATATATTTTTAGTTATCCAATTAATTTATTTCTATCTTTAGTAGAGACGAGGTCTCGCTCTTGCTCAGGCTGGTTTCGAACTCCTGACCTTGAGCAATCCTCCCTCCTTGGCTTCCCAGAGTGCTAGGATTACAGGCGTGAGCCATCGTGCTCAGCCTAAATATATATGACTTTTATTTGAAATATTTAAATTTGTTTTTACCTAAAAGTTTTCTTTAAAAAAGTTACCCAGATAAGAGAAATGTAAATAAAAACCACACTCATATACCATCTCACACCCATTAGGATGACTACTATCAAAAAAAAAACCCCAGAAAATAAGGTCAGGCCTGGTGGCTCATGGCTGTAATCCTAGCATTTTGGGAGGCAAAGGCAGGAGGATTGCTGGAAGTCAGGAACTGAAGATCCTCATGAGCAAGAGCGAGACTCTATCTCTACAAAAATAGAAAACTTAGCTGGGTGTATAGGCATGCACCTATAATCACAGCTACTTAGAAGGCTGAGTGAGACAGGAGTATCTTTTTGAGCCCAGGTGTTTGAGGTTGCAGTGATGATGATGCCACTGCACTCTATTCCAGGCAATAGAGTGAGACCCTGTCTCCAAATAGCAACAACAACAACCCAGAAAATAACAAATGTTGGCAGTGATGTGGAAAAACTGGAAACTTTGTGCATTGTTGGTAGGAATGTAAAATGTTGTAGCCATTATGGAAAACATGAAAGTTCCTAAAAAAAAATTAAAAATAGAATTGCCAATCTCACTTCTGGGTATATGCAAAAGAATTCAGAGCTGGATCTTGAAGAGATATTTTCATACCCATATTCATTGCAGCATTATTCACAACAGCCAAGAGGTAAAAGCAACCCAAATGTTCCTTGATGGATGAATGGATAGAGAAAATGTGGTGTACATACAATGGAATATTATGCAGTGTTAAAATCCTGTCACATCCTAAGACATGGATGAGTCTCAAGGATATTTTGGTTAATAAAATAAGCCAGGCCGGGCACGGTGGCTCACACCTATAATCCTAGCACTCTGGGAAGTCAGGAGTTCAAAACCAGCCTGAGCAAGAGCGAGACCCCGTCTCTACTATAAATATGAAGAAATTAATTGGCCAACTAATAGATATAGAAAAAATCAGCCGGGCATGGTGGCGCATGCCTGTAGTCCCAGCTACTCGGGAGGCTGAGGCAGCAGGATTGCTTGAGCCCAGGAGTTTGAGGTTGCTGTGAGCTAGGCTGAAGCCAGGACACTCACTCTAGCCTGGGCAACAAAGCGAGACTCTGTCTCAAAACAAAAAACAAAAAGAAAAAAAAATAAGCCAGTCACAAAAGGACAAATACTATATGATTCCACTCATGACGTATCTAAAATAGTCAAAATCATAGAAATGGAAAGTAGAGGTGGTTGCCAAGTGCTGGGAGGAGATATGAGGGGGAATTAGTGTTTAATGGGTATAGTTTCAGGTTTGCAAAATGAAAAGTTCTAGAGATCTGTTGCACAACAATATGAATATACTTAACACTGCTGAACTGTATGCTTATAAATAAGACAGTAAATTTAATATTGCATTTTTTACTATAATAAAATTACCCAGGTAATTCTGATGATAACCAGGTTTTAGAAACTGGCAATAGTAGGTTAAAGATATGGGGAGAGATAAGGCATAGAGCCATTTCTTTACCTTCCTGACTGTTATTTCCATCTTCTATAGATTGACAAACTGAAACAGCAATTGACTGAAACAAAAGAAAAAGCTGAAGAGGAGAAGGAAAAATTGGTGAGTTATTTCTGTACTCGAATATTTCACTTCATAAGTGGTCAGGTGTCTGGTGAGCTCAGGTACTTAAGATCCAATGAGAGTAAATGAATAAGTTCTCTGAGCAGCTCAACGAGCTTAAAGCCCACACATCTGATCGTACAGAAGCTCAAAAATAACATGAAAATATGTTATTAGCTGGGCATGGTGGCTCATGCCTGTAATTCTAGCATTCTGGGAGGCTGAGGTGGGAGGATGGCTTGAGCTCAGGTGTTTGAGACCAGCCGGAGCAAGAGTGAGACCCTGTCTCTTCTAAAAATAGAAAAATTACCTGGGTGTCATGGCACGCATCTGTAGTCCCAGCTACTTGGGAGGCCAAGGCAGGAGAATCCCTTGAGCCCAGGAGTTTGAAGTTGCTGTGAGCTGTGATGATGCCATTGCACTCTACCCAGGGCAACCGAATAAAACTCTGTCTCAAAAAACAAAAAGGAAATTGAACCTCACTCCCTCCCCCTTCACATTTAAAAAATATATATGTTATTGTCAAAAACTATATGGCATTAATGATACTTACTAATCCTGAGGTTGTTATTGTTTCTAGGGCTTTTCAGTGGACAGAGCTAGGAAATAAATGTTTTAAAAAGAATAAAATAGATCATGAGTCCATTCTAATACTTTCAGTTCAGATGCAAGGGAATACAGTGGTTTTTTTGTTTGTTTTTTGAGACATACTCTCACACTGTTGCCCAGGCTAGAGTGCCCTGGCATCAGCCTAGCTCACAGTAACCTCAGACTCCTGGGCTCAAGCAATCCTTTCTGCCTCAGCCTCCCAAGTAGCTGGGACTACAGGCATGCACCACGATGCCCGGCTAATTTTTTCTATATATTTTTAGTTGTTCAATTAATTTTTTTCTATTTATACTAGAGATGGGGTCTCACTCTTGCTCAGGCTGGTTTTGAACTCCTGACCTTGAGCGATCCACCTACCTCGGCCTCCCAGAGTGCTAGGATTACAGAGCATGAATCACCATGCCCAGCCAGGAATACAGTGTTTTTACCTAACCTAATCTGTAGCTCCTTTCTCCCTTCTCAAAAATCTTAGTTCTTTTTTTTTTTTTTTTTGAGACAGAGTCTCACTTTGTTGCCCAGGCTAGAGTGAGTGCCGTGGCGTCAGCCTAGCTCACAGCAACCTCAAACTCCTGGGCTCAAGCGATCCTCCTGCCTCAGCCTCCCGAGTAGCTGGGACTACAGGCATGTGCCACCATGCCCGGCTAATTTTTTTTTATATATATATATATATATCAGTTGGCCAATATAATTCTTTCTATTTATAGTAGAGATGGGGTCTTGCTCTTGCTCAGGCTGGTTTCGAACTCCTGACCTTGAGCAATCCGCCCGCCTCGGCCTCCCAGAGTGGCTAGGATTACAGGCGTGAGCTACCAGGCCCGGCCAAAAAAAAAAATCTTAGTTCTTAATGATAACAATTATCTAGTTGTTTAAACCTTAATATATCAACAATCTTAGAATACTTATACTACCACTAACAATAAATTACTCTAAACAGTTTAAGATTTGGGGGAGCATTTTTCTTCCTTATGATATATACCAATAAGGATCTATCGTCAAATTGCAAGGTTTAAAAACCATTTGATGCAAAAGACAAGTCCTCCAAGCAAAATAAAAAGAAAAGAAAAGAAGAACCATTTGAAATTCCTTTCTGTGAGGTTATGCCACCAACTCAACAACACATTTTGCTTTTGATTTTTAGTGATTTCTTTTTATTTTTTATTTTATTTTTTAGAGATAAGGTCTCTTGCTATGTTGCTCAGGCTAGTCTTGAACTCCTGGCCTTGAGCAATCCTTTTGCCTCACCCTCCCAAGTAATTAGGACTATAAGTGTGTACCACTTCACCCAGCTTAGAGGTTACTTTTTAAAAATCTAGTTTTGCATCTAAAATTATGTAATTATGATTATGTAAAATATACAAGGTTCAAGTCTATGAAACAAATTATATACTGAGAAATATAACTTCTATTCATGTTTTTTACATACCATCTCCTTCTCCCTGTAGAAAACCATTTTAATCATTTTATGGTCTTATTATTTTAAAAAGCATATGTAATAAATATAAACAAACAAAATATATATATATTTGTGTCTCATCTTTCTTGGATAAAAGGTAGCATACAACATACATAGATCTGTACCTGCTTTTTTTCACTTAAAAATATTTCTTGGAGATCATGCCACAGCAGTCTGTAGAGATATTCCTTGTTCCTGTTTATAGTTATGTGGTAGTCCATTGTGTAGATGTACCATAGTTTATTCAAATGGTCCTTGTCTTAGTTCAGGCTTCCATGACAGATTACCACAGACTGAGGTGCTTAAACAACAAACATTTATTTCTTACAGTTCTGGAGGCTAGAAATCTGAGGTCAGGGTGCCAACATGATTGGGTTCTTGATGAGGGCTCACAGATGGCTGCCTTCTTGCTGTATCTTTAGGTGGTGGGAAGAGAAAGCTCTGGTGTCTTCATCTTTTCTCTTCACCAATCCCATCTTGGAGGCTCTACCCTCATAACCTCATCTAAACCTAATTCCCCTCAAAGGCCACACTTCCAAATGCTATTACATTGGGAATTACGGATTCAACATACGAATTAGGGGAGGGCCACATTTCAGGCATAGCAATCCTCCCCCACCTTTTTTTTTAGAGACAGATTTTGAGCTGTTGCCTTGGCTGGAATGCAGTGGCCCAACCACAGCTCACTGTAACCTCGAACTCCTGGTTTCAAGGGATCCTCTCGCATCAGCCTCCCGAGCAGCTAGGACCACAAGCTTGTGCCACCATACCTAACTAATTTTTTTATTTTTTGTAGACATAAGGATTCACTATGTTGCCCAGGGTGGTCTTAAACTCCTGCCCTCAAGTGAGACTCTCTCCTTGGCCTCCCAAAGTACTAGGATTATAGGCATGAGTCACTGTACCTGGCCAACAATCTCCTTTTCATGGATAGTTGGGTTGTTTCCAGTCTTTTGCTATTATAGTTAGATAGTTAGTGCTCCAATAAAGAGCCTTGTGTGTACACCTTTTCTTTTCTTTCTATTTTTTTTTTTGAGACAGGGTCTTGCTTTGTAACCCATCCTAGTTTATTGCAACTTCAAAGTCCTCTGCTCAAGCAATCCTCCTGCTTCAGCCTCCCAAGTAGCTGGGACTACAGACATATTCCACCACGTCTGGGTAATTTTTCTATTTTTTGTGGAGACAGGGTTTTGTTCTTGCTTAAGCTGGTCTCAAACTCCTGGCCTCAAGCAATACTCCCACCTCAGCCTCATGAGTGCTAGGATTATAGGTATGAGCCACCATGCCCAGATCACATTTTCACATTTTGACTGCTATGTTTTTGAGATAGACTCCTAGAAGTGGTATTGCTGGGTCAGAAAAAATATATAATTTTTCTAGATACTGCCTAATTTCTATCTATAGATATTATGTCATTTTGTAATACCACTAATCATGTATGAGACTGCCTGTTTTCTCACAGCTTCATTGAACTGAGTATATTGTCAAACTTGATTTTTGCCAGTGAGGTGAGAAATGGTATTTCAGTGTAGTTTCAATTTGCACTTCTCTTGTTATGCATTAGGTTGAGCAGTTTTTCATTTTTGAGGGCCATCTACATTTCTTTTGTCATCTTTTATTCATTTTTTCAATTGTTATTGGCCCTTTTCACCTCCTCCCTCTTTTTCTCTCTCTCCTTCCTTCACTTCCCTCTCTTCCTCCTCTTTTTCCTTCCTTCTCCCTTCTTTTCCTCCTCCTTCCTTGAAATGTTCCTCTCTCTTCTTTCCTCTACCATCTTCTTTATTTATTAGTCATATTTACCCTTCCTTTGTCATTTAACCTTCTCACTTTTAACTGAGGTCAAGGATATTTATCCTCTTCACAGATTAAAGATTTGTTTGGCCTTCTCATACCTCTTTTTAATAAATATAGACATTTTCTTCCTTTTATACAAGATTAGCTTATATAGAAACTTTCTAGAATGTTTTTCTTATTTAAGGCAGTTGGGATCTTTTTATAGAAATAAAAATTTTATGCAAAAACAAAGAGGGGGCATTTCTTCACAGAAGATATATAAATGGCTTAAGACTTTAAATGGAACATGACTATGGGACTTCTGTTCTTTTTCCTAACTCATTTACCTCTTTTTTGAATACAGGAACAAAAGTATACCATGCAAATACAGGAGCTAGAGGGACAGTTCCATCAAAAAGCCAAAGAAATTGGCATGATTCAGACAGAATTGAAGACAATAAGACAATTTCAAAAGAGAAAAATCCAAGTGGAGAAAGAATTAGATGATGTAAGTTCCTTTTCTTTTTTGAAAAAAAGATTAGAATTAACTACTTGCAGAGCCTTTACAAACATTTACTTCTGTAAGATAGCAAAAAATTATTTTTGACGTTTTACAGATTATTTGAGAGAAAAGGGTAAGGTATATCAGGTTAGGACTAGATGCCAAAGGTCTTCACTTTAGACTTTTCCTTTTTTTTTTTTTTTGACAGAGTCTCACTTTCTTGCCTAGGCTCGAGTGCCATGGAGTCAGCCTAGCTCACAGCAACCTCAAACTCCTGGGCTAAAGTGATCCTCCTGCCTCAGCCTCCTGGGTAGCTGGGACTATAGGCATGTGCCACCATGCCCAGCTAATTTTTTCTGTTGTTAGTTGTTTTGGCTAATTTCTTTCTATTTATAGTAGAGATGGGGTCTGGCTTTTGCTCAGGCTGGTTTTGAACTGACCTTGAGCTATCCACCCCCCTTGGCCTCTAAGAGTGCTAGGATTAGTGTATCAGGTTTTATCGAAGGAATATAAAGTTTTGTTTTCTGTGAAAATGCTGCAGCTTGAAATCAACATAACTTTTCAGGAACTCTTAAAATAGCTATCCTATGTGTAGGTATACGTTGAATGAATTAAGAACTATTAATAGTTGTGCATATTCTAGTGGGCCATAATGTGATTTTTTTAAAAAAAGAACAATGTTGCCATCTAGTGGAGAAATAGATTTCAAACCTTTCAAAAAGAACTGTTGAGGAAGGTTTAAAATTTGAAGGCAAAAAATACTGGTTTATGATAAAAAATAAGGTAATTCTGTGGAATTCCAAATGTGGCAGAACCAAGGCAGATATGGGGCCTGTGAATTTAAATTTGGGAGGTATACATTAGGAAAGAAAATTAATTATACTATGTATATAGAATTCATGGTACAATTCTAATTTTGTGCAAATTAAAAAGAGATTAATTAAATTTAGATTATCAAAAAGTATTCAAGGCATACATTTTAAAGAAAAAATGACTTCTATATACCTGATTAACAAAAGATCCATATATTGTTAGGTCGCAGTTATTTTTTAATAGTTTTAGTCCTTTTTGACAAAGTGATAATACTCATTTCTGCAAATTTAGCTTAGCTGATAAAAGAATAAAATAAAAATACCATATCCCTCACAATTACATGACCTAGAGGTAATCATTGTTAATACTTAGGTATATAGTTGTTTCTTTCTTCCTCTGCTGTATAGAAACATATTTTAAAATATCTATATCTATTTTCATAAAAGTGAAGTCATTATAAACAAATTGTTAACCTGATTTTTCACTTTATATATTGTGGACATTCTTCAGTGCCATTAAATATTTTTCTTAAAATGTTTTGAATAGATGCATGGAATTCCACTGGGTAGATGTATCATAATTTATGCATTGGTTACTTGCTATTGGACATTTGGACTGTTTTCTAATTTTTCACTATTATAAACTGCGGTGAACATCTAAGGAAAAAAATCTTTTTCTATATCTTTAATTTGTTTTTAGGATAACTTCTTAGGAGTAGAATTTATAGGTAAATAAGCATGAACTTTTAAAGATTTGTGATGTATACTACCTAATTACCTTTTGAAGATTTAAGCCATTTAAAGAAATTATATAAAAAATTTAGGGAGAAAGAAGAGCATCTGAAAGAGATTATACAAAATGGAGATTTAATACTTTTATAACAGATTATAGTTAAGGAAATTTGTTAAGTCTACAGAATAATATTAAACATAATAATAACTAACCTATATATTAAATGGTTACTATGCTAAATACTTCACATGTACTATTTGTTATTTAATCCTTACCATACCCCTACGAGATAGGTACTATTACAGTCACCTTTTTATGCTTGGAGACCAAGTTAAGTGACTTGCCCAGGGGCAACAGCTACTGTCAAACAGCTAGAGGGAGAGGCAGCTTTTGATTCTGATCTACTGTGTTTCCCCGGAAATAAGACAGGGTCCTATATTTATTTTTCCTCAAGAAGACACCCTAGGGCTTATTTTCAGGGGATGTGTTATTTTTTTTAAGTACGGTACAACAATCTACATTTATTCAAATATAGTTAAGTCGTCTTCTTCTGGAACATCATAACTCTCCAAACCCCGAATTCCATCCTGAATTTCTTGCAACTCTATTTCCTTTAAAACCATTGGCCCCAATCTCTCATGTCAAGCAATATAGCTCTCATGGGGCAGATGAGAAGAGCTGCTCATCTTTGCTGCTCTGCGACGAAATGCATGGGTTGTGCAGATATGCTGCGTAGCCACACCCATCACTAGGTCTTATTTTTGGGGTAGGGCTTATATTGCACAAATGCTTAGAAATCCTGCTAGGGCTTATTTTATGGGTAGGTCTTATTTTTGGGGAAACATGGTATTTGATGGAAAGCCTTTCTGTACAGCTTTTTTTTTTTTTTTTTTTTTCTGAGACAGAATCTCGCTCTGCCACCTGGGCTAGACTGCAGTGGCATCATCTGTAAATAACCTATAGTTCACTGTTAATAACCTGAAACTCCCGGGCTCCAGTGGTTCCCTTGCCTCAACCTCACAAGTAGCTGGGACTATCAGTGTGTACTACCAAGCCTTCCTAATTTTTCCATTTTCTATAAAGACAGGGTCTCTTGCTCAGGCTGGTCTCTAACTCCTGGGCTGAAGCAGCCCTCCCACCTGGGCTTCCTAGAATGTTAAGATTACAGGCATGAGTCACCACGCCTGGCCTCTGCTGCCCTTTCTGTGGCATGAGTGTTAGATTGAATATGCCTATTTCTTTTTTTTTTTTCAGAGTATCATATCTTTTGTTGTCATCAAGTAAGAATATGTCTATTTCAATCTTAATCATTCTTCCCCATAAATATAGACTATAGGGATCATTGCTTTAAATTAATTCAACTTTAATTTACTAAAATAATTTTATGTCCTTTCTATTCCATACAGTTTTAGAGAACAGAAGTAGGATACATCCATAGCAATCATGAGGAGATATTTTTTAGATTGATATTAGAAAGAATTTTTTTCAAATGGAAATTATGAATGGGTAGCCTAGTGAATTAATGAGATTTGAGTTAGTGATAATTCTGTCTCAGGACATCTTTCTTATAGAAGGAATTTCTATATTAGTTGGGAATATTATGTAGTCTAACTCCTAGTTCTCCTCTAATTCTAAAATTTTATGATTCTGTCATTCTACATGTCTCAATAGATGGTATTTAGAAAATATGATTATGAGAACAACTTGTCTGAATGTTTTGAGATCTGTTATTCATTAAAGGCTTTTAAAAAACTCAATATAGTAGTCCCCCCTTATCCACAGGGAACACACTCCAAGACCCACAGTAGATGTCTGAAACTGCAAATAGTACTGGACCCTACATATACTATGCTTTTTCCCATACATACATATCTAAGATAAAGTTTAATTTCTAAATTAGGCACAGTAAAAGATAAACAACAAAAACTAATAAAATAGAACAATTATAACAATATACTGTAATAAAAGTTATGTAAATGTGGTCCCTCTCTCTCGCTCCCCAAAATATCTTAATGTTTTTGGACTATAGTTGACCATGGGTAACTGAAACCACAGATAAGGGGGGACTACTGTATTGATCTTGTAAATGTATAGAAGATTAAGAGAAATATGGTACTTAGAGGCAAGAACACCAACTTTTCTTTGTCTTCAAGATTAAAAGGTAATGTAGAACAGATAATGTTTCTTTATAGGGATTTTCTGGGAATATGCCCCAATCAACCCCATTTCCTATTGACCATTTTTAACTTTTTTGTTATTTTGATTTTAGCTGAAGGAGAATTTAAGGAACACAGAGTGGAAACATCAGGAGACTCTTAGAAGACTGGAAGGCAGGTTTTTTGAAGAAAAGGTAGGGAATATTTGGGTTAAGAAATGTTTTGTTTTACTGGAACAACATAAGTGTATTCTGAGACGTATCAATCTTCCATTTGGTATCTTATTAGAAGATTAAAAGATTATTATTGAATAATAGCAGAATAAAAATCAGGGAAAACAAAACCTTCTGTTTTAGAAATCTCAATGTCTAGTCATTTTTTTCCCTCTCCAATTCAGAGATTCTTAAAATCCTCTACAGGGATTGTCATCTTATGAAGGCTTCAGTACACATCTCCCTCAGCTTGGTATTCCCCTGGTGGGACTACATGTTCTACATTATGTAGGGGAGATAAGATTGGAGAAGTCACTCTGGTGTATGTAGGAAGATGATCCCTTAGTCAAGCCGAGCTAAGGATGTTAATAAAAGGGGAATCAAAAATGCTCCTTAGCATATCACAAACTTCCAAGTTTCTCTGTGTTTCTGAAGTTAATTCTCTAAATTGTGAGAAATACATTGGAACACTTCTCTTGTACAGAATCCTTTCAGAGGCCTCATGTTTTTTCTTTAATTAATTATTTTAATTGTTTCTCTAATTTTTCATTCTTGGGAAAGAATTGGTATAGGGATGTAGGGAGTTGAGAGTAGGGCAATTAAGTACCTATGAGGTTTAGTTAAGAGAAATTGTTTTAGAAAGTATTTCTAGGTTTCTAGTTTATATGTTGAATAACCTGGAAGGAGTGGGGCAGGATCAGCACCCTCGTGCTTTCCCTCTGAGACATTTCCTGGCACTGTCAGGAATGAAAGCCCTAAAGATTAGACTGCTCTCAGTAGCCTCCCCCCTCTACTGCACCCTAATCTTGATCCCTTTTCTACTTGGTATAGGAAATAAAGGTTAGAAGTGCTTGTCAGTTTATAGAATACCTGAAGCTGGGTAATTTATAAAGAAAAGAGGTTTATTTGGCTCATGGTTCTCCTGGCTGTACAAGAAGCATGGCACCAGCATCTGCATCTGGTTAGGGGCTCAAGCTACTTACGCTCATGGCAGAAAGGGAAGGGGAGCTGGCATGTGCAGATCACATGGCCAGAGAGAAAGCAAAAGAGAGGGGAAAGGTGCCAGGTTCTTTTTAACAAACAGATTTCCAGGGAACTCTTGTGAATACTAATAGAGTGAGAACTCACTCATTACCTGGAGGGTGGCACCAAGCCATTCATGAGGGATCTGCCCCCATGACCCAGACACCTCCCATTAGGCCCTACCTCCAACACTGGGGATTAGATTTCAACATGAGACTTGGTAGGGCCAAATAAATCAAATCCAAATAATAGCACATTGCTTATGTAAATAGGATTTTTATATCTGAAGTAGGCAGCTGCTGGCCTTTCCCTCATGGTTACAAGACAGTTACTGCAGCTCCAAGCTTCCTCTGTATTCAAAGCAAAAAGAAGAGTGGCTCTAGCAGTATCTCTCCCTTTTATCTAGAAATCATAAAAACTTTCCCAGAAGCTCCTAGCAGATTTGACCAGATCCATGTTATAAAGGATGCTAGGATAGTATTTTGTTTTTCCAGCCACTAATAGAAGATAAGAAGGAGAAAGGAGGATGGGACTGAGTGTTGGGTTGGCCAGCCACAGCAATATCAGACTCACCATGTTAGGCATAAACTTCATGGGTATTTCTCCTATGCTGGTTTGAGCCCCAGTGCTGCTGCTTCATGGCAGTGGGCTTTCCAGTAGGCATGTTCATTCATCTCATACCTCAGCTTGCTCCACCTGGTCATATAAAGGATGTCCCCAAGTCATCAGTGTTTTGTTTGATTTTGTTTTTCCATTTATTCTTTTCTATTCATTAAACCACAAAGTGCTGTCCTACACCATATTTTTTCTTTTCTTTTTTTAGAGACAGGGCCTCACTGTCACCCAGGCTGGAGTACAGTGGTGTGATCATAGCTCACTAGTCTCAAATTCCTGGTCTTCAAGCAATCCTCCTGCCTTAGCCTCCCGAGTAGCTAGGACTACAGACACACACCACCATACCTGGCTAATTTTAAAATTTTTTGTAAAAGTAGGATCTCACTGTGTCTCAAACTCCCGGGCTCAAGCAATCCTCCCAGCTTGGCCTCCCAAAGTGCTGGGATTTCAGGCATGAGTCACTGTTCCCGGCCTATACCATATTTTGTACTTGCTATTGCCTCCTCCTGGAATGCTCTTCATCCAGCTCTGGCTCATTCTCTTTTTTTTGAGATAGGGGTTCTTGCTGTGTTGCTCATGCTGGAGTGTGGTGGCACCATCATGGCTCACTACAGCCCCAAAACTCCTGGCTCAAGCAATCCTCTTGCCTCAGCCTCCTGACCAGCAGGGACTACAGGTGCACACCATCATGCCCAGCTAATTTTTTGTATTTTTTGGTAGAGATAGAGTCTCACACTCCTGGGCTCAAGTGATCCTCCCTGCTTGGCCTCTCAAAGTGCTAGGATTATAGGCATGAGCCACCATGCCCAACTTCATTCTCATTATTTAGACCTCAAATGTCATTTCCTCAGAGAGAGATTCCCTAAACTGCAATCTAAAATGACCTCCCCGGCCAGGCGCGGTGGCTCATGCCTGTAATCCTAGCACTCTGGGAGGCTGAGGCAGGCGGATTGCTCTAGGTCAGGAGTTCGAAACTAGCCTGAGCAAGAGTGAGACCCCATCTCTACTATAAATAGAAAGAAATTAATTGGACAACTAATATATATAGAAAAAATTAGCTGAGCATGGTGGCGCATGCCTGTAGTCCCAGCTACTGGGGAGGCTGAGGCAGAAGGATTGCTTGAGCCCAGGAGTTTGAGGTTGCTGTGAGCTAGGCTGATGCCACGGCACTCACTCTAGCCTGGGCAACAAAGTGAGACTCTGTCTCAAAAAATAAAAATAAAAATAAAATAAAATGACCTCCCTCAGTTCCTATCTATCTCATTACCCCATTTATTTTATTTTATTTACAACATTCATCACAGTGTATTCACTCTCTTATTTGCTTACTTGTTAGGGCACTGTGTAACATCAGATTGCCTTCATATGAATCCCTGCTCTGCCACTTACTAGCTATGTGACTTTGGGCAAGTTACTAATTTCTCTTTTTCTCAGTTTCCTCAACCTTGCTTTTGGGGATAATAATTTCATAGGGTTGTCATAAGAAATAAATGATATATGTAAGGCTCTTAGAACATGCCTGGCACATAGTAAATACTCAGTACATTGTAATTATTGCTTATTGTTTAGATCCCACCCTAAGACATAAGCTTCATGATATCAGGGACCTTGTCTGTTTGTTCACCACAGAATCTTCAGTATCTAAAACACCTAGTACACTATCAGTGCTCAATAGTAATTTATTGAACGAATAAATGAATGACTCTAATCACATTACATTTAGCAGAGATTTTTTCCAGATCTGCTTTCCAATATGGAAGTGGATTTTTCCACCCCTATTTACATGTCATGTTGGTTCTTTAGTGGGGAAATTGAGAGGTGCCTTAAGGTTCCTGTGTTCACACCATCCTCTTTGCTGGCTTCTTTACCAGTGCTGGGAGTTCTTCACGTCCAGTCATGTGGACAGGAGTGTTTTATTTGACATTCTGAAATAAATACTTTTTTTAAAATCGTTTTCCAAGCAATGAAATAAACACTTTTTGATGTGTAAAATTTGTTAGAAATATAACTGTATTTAAGTAGCCTATTTTCTTTTTTAGCACCGTCTAGAAGAAGAGGCTGAAAAGAAGATAATATTGCTGGCAGAGAGAGCCCACCAGGAAGCTGTTGTGTAAGAGACGGCTGCCTCCGTTTTCTTTCTGATAGCCTCTCTTACCTCGTTGCTGGTCTATTTTCTTCTTTCCTTATCTTCCCTCTTCTCTCCCATCTTGCTTTCTTCAAATTTTCTGGTCTACTTGCCATCACTGTTTGTTTCTCTTTGTGTTCCTCCCACCTTCTTTCCTTTGCCCTTTCTGTAGAAGCACAGTGTGGTGGAAAGAACCTGGACCTGGAACTTATTTAGACTTCTGGTTCTCAACATATATATTAACTTACTATAGAAGGATTTCTTAACTTTCTAGAAATTTAATTTCTTCCTCTAAATATGGGGCTAATAGCAGCAATCTTGCATGGTTGTCATGAGGTATGTTAGTGGACATAACACTAAGCTGTGTTATGATAACAAATGAACTCTCAGGTCTTATGGTTTATATCTTGCTCAAATAACAACCCAAAGTGGGTCTAGCAGCTCTCCTCCAATGGTGATTCAAGAATCCGGGCTGCTTCTGTCTTGCACTAATACTATCTTGGAGTTCTTCACTTTTAGTCACGTGGACAGGAAAGAGCATGGGACACTCATACCTCCTCTTAACTGCCTTGTACTAGAAGTAGCATATCCTCTCCATTTTCTTTTTTCTTTCTTTTTTTTTTTACACACACACATTTTATTTATTTTCTCAGTGGCACTGACCTACTGAACTTAAAAATTTCCACCAGAGTCGAAAAAAATATTTTAAACACCCATTTGATATTTGTTAATACCGTTCTCCTTGTCTATAATGAAATGCATTTTTGTTCACCCATTGCAAAAGCCTTTGCTACACATTCACACAGACTTGTTAGTAACGAATCTTTAGTAAGAAAATAATATAACATGAGGTAACTTTGGATGAGTTTTAATGTCCTGGACCCTTGTGACTTCATGTATAAAGTGCAGGTCAGCAAAAATTAAAATGAGGTAATATGGTGTAACAGGTAATAACCTAGTAAGGGCACAATAAAGGATGCTATTATTTTATCATGAATTCAACTGAAATCCCAAAAGAATTCAACTGAAATCCCAACATCTAGAGCAATACATTTACTATACTGTTACCAGAAGTTTGGCACTTGCCCCCAAGGCCACATCAGAAGAATGAGGACACTGGTTTGAGAAGGAAGGGGAGGTTTATTAATTTGCTGGCAAATGAGGAGGCTGGCAAACTTCTGTCTTAAGGTACCAATGTCCTATCTATAAGCTGAAACACACAGAGCTTTTAAAGGGGGATTTTCAGCTTGGGGCTCCTGCTGTTTAACTATGGTTGACAGTCCTGATAGAGCCCATCTCCAGGGAAGACAATCTTATGATCTCTGCCTGGACAATTCCCTTGAGCCATTTCCTGTGGTACAAGGAAACAAAGGACACTCCCCTGCCCCTCTGATTACTAGTCTCAGCAGGGATGCAGGCTTTAATTTGCAAAAAGAATTGGGGAGGTTTTAAAGAGACAGCTTGTAAAACACTTTTACCCTTTTCCAGGCCATTCCCTGTGTTACAATATGGCTTAAAAAATGGTTGATTGTCATTCCCTCATCGACCCAGAGGGAATTAATGCCAGCAACAGGCCCATTAAATGTTGGGACTCAACTATACTCCATCCTCTCATTTAACAGACAGGAAAGCAGAGGGCCAGGGAGTCTTTGAAACTTGTCCACAGATACACAACTACTTTGTGGCTGAGCCATGTCTAGCACCAGGGTTCTTTTGATCAATTCAAGTATCTCTTTCATTTCTGTGACCCTTTACACTTACAAGGTACTCTTTAGCTCCATGACTTTATTACCTTACATCACTCAGCTCTTGGAAATGGCTTTTTTCCCCCTTCTTGTCTTTAGGAGACTTTTTTGCATTCTCCAACTTGTGTTGCAGCAGCTGATTCTGTACTGACCTTTATTTTTTGTCTTTTTTTTTTTTTTTTTTGAGACAGAGTCTCACTTTTGTTGCCCAGGCTAGAGTGAGTGCCGTGGCTCAAGCGATCCTCCTGCCTCAGCCTCCCGAGTAGCTGGGACTACAGGCATGCACCACCATGCCCGGCTATTTTTTTTTTGTATATATACTTTTAGTTGGTCAATTAATTTCTTTCTATTTTTAGTAGAGACGGGGTCTCGCTCAGGCTGGTTTCAAACTCCCGACCTTGAACAATCCGCCCGCCTCGGCCTCCCAGAGTGCTAGGATTACAGGCGTGAGCCACCGTGCCCGGCCGACCTTTATTTTTTTATTTTTTGAGACAGAGTCTCGCTTTGTTGCCCAGGCTAGAGTGAGTGCTGTGGCGTAAGCCTCGCTCACAGTAACCTCAAACTCCTGGGTTCAAGCAATCCTCTTGCTTCTGCTTCCCGAGTAGCTGGGACTACAGGCATGCGCCACCATGCGCGGCTAATTTTTCTATATATATTAGTTGTCCAATTAATTTCTATTTATAGTAGAGATGGGGTCTCGCTCTTTCTCAGGCTGGTTTCGAACTCCTGACCTCGAGCAATCCGCTCGCCTCGGCCTCCCAGAGTGCTAGGATTACAGGTGTGAGCCACCTCGCTGGGCCTAATTTTTTTTTTTTAAGAGACAGGGCCTCACTCTCTTGCCCAAGCTGGGGTACAATGGCCCAACCATAGCTCACTGTAACCTTGAATTCCTGGACTCAAGCAATCCTCCTGCCTCAGCCTCCTGAGTATCTGGGGCTAGAGGTGTGTGCCACCACACCTGGCTAATTAAAAAAATTTTTTTTCAGAGACAAGGTCTAGCTGTTTTACTCAGGTTGGTCTTAAACTCCTGAGCTCAAGTGATCCTCCCACCCCAGCCTTCCAAAGTACTAGGATTACAGGCACGAGGCACTGTGTTCCACCCCCACCTAATTATTGAGTACCTACCATAAGCTAAATAAGTGGTGGTCATTATTATTAATGTTGGAGGGGGGGTAAAGCAATCATTGTTCTAATTTGATAATATCTAAAACTTAGACCTATATTTTGGGACCTTATATCTATCTATTTCAGGCAATTGAACAATGCCGGAAGAAATGTTTTTAAAGAGAATATTTCTCTCCAGAAGGCTCTTGCATATCACCTGAAGGAAGCTGATGTTCTACTAAAAAACTCTCAGAAGTTGCAAGAGAGTCATACTGTCCTTTTACAACAAAAGGTTCCTTCTCATTTAGACTTTGTTTCCTAACTTTTTTTTAAGGATTGGGTTGGTAAATACCAAGAATTGGTTACAATAATGATATATAAGGGTGATAGGACCATTTTCCTTCTGTCTGGATGACACACTTTCCTTATCTGAAAAGACTTATAAGAAGCATTATACTTGACTTTAAAAAGAATATATCAGAAACATAAATTAGACTTTTTCTCTCTACTACTTTAGAATAATTCACTTTTCTTTGCTTGTAGTTGATCCCTGAATCACTTAAGAATAGGTTTAGGACGGGCGCAGTGGCTCACGCCTGTAATCCTAGCACTCTGCGAGGCCTAGGCGGGTGGATTTCTCAAGGTCAGGAGTTTGAAACCAGCCTGAGCAAGAGCGAGACCCCGTCTCTACTATAAATAAAAAGAAATTAATTGGCCAATTAATATATATAGAAAAAAATTAGCCAGGTATGGTGGCACATGCCTGTAGTCCCAGCTACTCAGGAGGCTGAGGCAGTAGGATTGCTTGAACCCAGGAGTTTGAGGTTGCTGTGAGCTAGGCTGATGCCACGACACTCACTCTAGCCTGGGCAACAAAGTGAGACTATGTCTCAAAAAAAAAAAAAAAAAAAAAGAATAGGTTTAGCTGTGAATAACAGACCTGACATCAATGCCGTCACCACACAGGGTTTATTGTTTCACCTAAAGGAAGTCTGAAGGTAAACAATCCAGAGCAGGAATAGTAGTGCCACAAAGTCAGCAGACACTCAGTTTCCTTAACTCTGTTCTGCAACATGTACCTTATGTCCTCAAATTCACTTCATGGCCCAAGGTGGCTGATGGTGCTCTAACTATCACTCCATAAACAGCAGGAAGGAAGACAAGGAAAACATGTGCTTCTCCCTTTATTTTATTCATTTATTTATTCATTCATTCATTTATTTCTGAAGACAGAGCCTTGCTGTTATCCTGGCCACAGTGCAGAGGTGTCATCACAACTCTCTGCAACCTCAAACTCCTGGGCTCAAGGGATCCTCCTGCCTCAGACTCCCAAGTAGCTGAGACTACAGGTGCACACCACCATGCCAAGCTAATTTTTTCTATTTTTTGTAGAGACGGGGTCTTTTTCTTGCTGCTCTTGCTCAGGGCTGGTCTTGAACTCCTGAGCTTGAGCAATCCTTCCATCTTGGCCTCCCAGAGTGCTGGGATTACAGGTGTGAGCCACTGCACCTGGCCTTGCTTCTCCCTTTAGAGGTCTTCCTGAAAGTATTATACACATTTCCACTTCCATCTTATTAACCAGAAAACAGCTATGCTGAACTTCATGGGAGGCTGGGAATTTTTAGCTGGGCTTACTGCCTTTCTGAATAAAACTGGGGTTTTATTACAAAAAAGGAAAGGGAAAATGGGTATTGGGATAGGGAACTAGGACACTGCCACAGTTTCCTGTATATAGTTGTTAATGTTTTACTGATTTTGATAATATAAAATATTTAACCTTTCCAAATTTGAGAGGAAGGAAAGTTTTTTTTTTTTTTGTTTGTTTGAGACAGAGTCTCACTCTGTTTCCTCGGACTAGAGTGCTGTGGTGTCAGCCTAGCTCACAGCAACCTCAAACTCCTGGGCTCAAGCAATCCTTCTGCCTCAGCCTCCCCAGTAGCTGGGACTACAGGCATGCACCACCATGCCCAGCTAATTTTTTCTATATATTTTTAGTTGGCCAATTAATTTGTTTCTATTTTCAGTAGAGACAGGGTCTCGCTCTTGTTCAGGCTGGTTTTGAACTCCTGAGCTTGAGAAATCTGCCCGCCTCAGCCTCCCAGGGTGCTAGGATTACAGGCATGAGCCACCACGCCTAGACAGGAAAGTTTCTTAATTAGCAAAATTAGTGGATTTCCTTCACTAGTCCAGGTAAGGACCCTAGGATGTTTGTTATTTTCTGTACACAGAATAGCAAAGTATCACCTTCTCAGCCTATCAGCAAACTCAAGTCATATGAAATAATAGATTAGTGAGGAACTTCTACGTTCTGGAGTGATTAAAGAAAAAAATCTCTCACCTCTCTCATCTTTCTGTTTTAAGGAGATCAATGACCTGTTGGTTAAGGAAAAGATTATACAACTTACCCAGCAGAGATCACAAATCCAAATCCTTCAGAAGAAGGTGGTAAGCTTGGAGACTGCTCTGAATTGCATGACCAGAGAGTTTGAGACTGAAGTTTTAAAACTGCAGCAACAGGCAACGATAGAGAATCAAGCAGGTCGGGTAGAAATTGATAAGCTGCAGCATCTTCTTCAGCTGAAGGACAAGGAAATAAATCGAATGAAGAAGTTGGCCAAGAACATACTGGATGAGAGAACAGAAGTGGAAAGATTCTTTTTAGATGCTCTGCACCAAGTGAAACAGCAGATCCTGGTTAGCAGGAAGCATTATAAGCAGATAGCACAAGCGGCTTTCAATTTAAAAATGAGAGCAGCATGTGCAGGAAAAACCGAATATCCCCCAATCAGAACATTTGATGGTAGAGAGCACAGTACCAATAGTGTGAATCAGGATCTTATGGAGGCTGAGAAATGGTACTAGTAATATTTTAATATGTTATCTTTTGTGCTGCTATTTTTCTGCCCTTTATAAAAATAAGAACTCTGGAAAATTTAGTTTAATAATGTTGAATAATTAATCTATTGGATTTAATTGAATAGATTGCTCAGTAAGTTACTTGAGGCCAGGAACGGACTGACTCATATTTGTAATCCATCCTATGCTTAGCATAGTGGCTTAGTATGTATCTTAGTGGGTGCCTCCCTTTTTCTCTTGATAGAGACTTGTCTAGTCAATCCCGGAAGATGTCACTGTAATATATTTTAACTTGTGTTTTCTTTTTTGGGGGGAGGGGGCGTCTCACTCTGTGGCCCAGGCTAGAGTGCTGTGGTGTTAGCCTAGCTCACAGCAACCTCAAACTCCTGGGCTCAAGTGATCCTTCTGCCTCTGCCTCCCAAGTAGCTAGAACTACAGGCATGTGCCACCATGCCCCGCTAATTTTTTCTATATATATTTTTAGTTGTCCAGCTAATTTCTTTCTATTTTTTTAGTAGAGACAGGTCTCGCTCTTACTTACATTGGACTCGAACTCCTGAGCTCAAATGATCCTCCCACCTCAGCTTTCCAGAGTGTTAGGATTACAGGCCTGAGCCACCGTGCCTGCCCTTAACTTGTTTCTTTATCTTACATCCTGTAAATTGGAAATTAATTATAAAGGTTTGATTAGATTTAGTTTGATGATATGCTAAATGGTAAGCAAAAAGAAAAAAATAACAAAATAGATTCAGGTTAAACATTTTTGATAAGCATACTTTCAGAAGTATTTTGTACTGTTCCATTTACTATCTTGAGATAAAATTCATAGGTAATAATATCTAACCATATAATTTAAAAAAATCAATGTAACAACTCTTTGTAACAATTCTTTGTTGTGCAGAACTGTCCCACGGATTGGAGGACATTCAGTAGTGCCCCCGTGACTGCATTAACCAAAAGTCCCCCCAAATTATACAAAATTTTAGAGATCTACTGCTACTATAATAAAGTAGCAGAATATTTGAGATAGTTGCAGACTGTATACAATAATTAATTTTGTTTTCTGTTAACACTTTTGTTTCTTAGAGCAATTGTTGCCCTTATAAACTGTGGATTAAATTACAGTCCACTTTGAAGATTATTCTGAAAAAAATTATTTCATATTCCAATGCAGTTAGGTTCTTCAAAGGCCCTAACTAAAGAAACTTAAAAGGACTCCACACTTCTGTGTGTGTAACATTTTATTAAGAGTGCTTCCTCAGGGCTGGGCACGGTGATTCATGCCTGTAATCCTAGCATTCTGGGAGGCTGAGGTGGGTGGATTGCTTGAGGTCAGGAGTTTGAAACCAGCCTGAGCAAGAGCGAGACCTGTCTCTACTATAAATAGAAAGAAATTAATTGGCCAACTAAAAAAACATATAGAAAAAAATTAGCCGGGCATGGTGGTACATGCCTGTAGTCCCAGCAACTTGGGAGGCTGAGGCAGGAGTATTGCTTAAACCCAGGAGTTTGAGGTTGCTATGAGCTCGGCTGACTCTGGCACTCACTCTAGCCTGGGCAACAAAGCAAGATTCTGTCTCAAAAAAAAAAAAAAAGAGTGCTTCCGTATGTGTTTTCTGCTTTAAATTATTTTTTTTTCTGAGATCATGCAGTGAGATGCTTTAAATTATTTTTAAGAGACTAATTTCTAAGTTCTTTTGAATCACATAGCTGTTGGGGAGGCTGAGTAGCCCTTGAAAATTTTTGAGATAAGATTCTTCAAAAATGCCCATACTATAATTTTTTACCTTCTTGCCATTTTAGAAGTCTGTAATACCATTTCTATTACCAAGAGATTTCCTAGAATTTCCTCCTTTTTATTTAATAAGTCAAGTAAGTTGAGTACCTACCACACATAAAGGCAGTTTCCTTTACATCCTTTTGTCTACTGTATATTAAGTATTATACATTTTCTAAAGTTAAATAAAATAGTTCTCTATCTACATTGTTATTGCAGAAACTGGACTCTTCCTGCTCTGCCTTCTGTGTGACATTTTTGCTACTGGCCAACTTATCACCTTAATCTGAGTGTCCTATTGCCTTTATCAGCAAGGCAGAAATGATGGTTTAAATATCACATCATTTATTTAAGTGGTAGATTGGGAAAGGACAATTGAAGTATGTGGTAATCATAACACAAAACCTGAACTTTAAACAAAACTAACCCAATTGACCTATGTCCAAAATATGTTTTACAATATACAACATCAACACTCCATGTTAGCTTTAGTAAATGGCAAGTAGACCATGAATCCTCTGGGAAGTTATAGTATATATAAAGATCTGCCTGAAAAGCTTACCTTCAGCCTTATTTGAAGGTAAGAAAATAGACTAGATAAGTTACATGTTATTTTTCTCTTTTTTTTTTCTCTTTCTCTGTCAGGTCCAAGGTTGTGCTCAAATAGTTTATGGCCAGCCCTACTTTGGGCCCCACCTGTGGGCCTCCCTGCAGGCTGCTTATGTTGTTTTCTAAATTTACTTTCTGTTCCTCTGTTTTCATAGTACATATGAAATGTACTATTTAATATAAAAAAGAAATGTTATCAAAAAGAAGCCCAGAGTGACAGTTTTCCTCGATGTTTGCCAATCTGTTTGCTGTAAAAGATCTGTAACATTTTAGGAATATATCAAATCAATTTCTCAGGGTCAAAAATAAAAACAAAACAAAATAAAACAAACATTTTGGGAAAATACAGTTTCATTGTAACAAAAAAAGAAAAGTTAAAAGAAAAACACCTATCAACAACCTCACCAAACAATTCTTTTTCCTTGTTCCCTTAGTCTTTGTGCTGTATCTGTACATATAATGTTAACTTTACACCTTTCCATTTTGTTTATTTGCTTAATGTTTGACCACAAATTTTTTTATGTTGTAGTTTTTGTCATTTTCACCTTAATGACTACATAACATTTTGGATTGGCTAGTATATTGATATCCTTTTCGACTTTATGATTTTGTAATGGACACAATTTCCTTTGTAATTGTTATATAATATTCAGTTATGGTATGGAATTTGTATTATGTTTACATATTTTACATTTTTTTTAAAAGAGTAGAAGCTTACTTTGACCATATTTTTCCTTTTCATGCTTTTTTATTGAAATTCTTCAGGACAGATATTCAAGGAAATGTGGATATTGGAGATTTGACCTGGGAGCAGAAGGAGAAAGTCTTGAGATTGCTCTTTGCAAAAATGAATGGTTTTGTTCCTAGGTAACTATTTCTGCAGTGAAATATCAAGTTATTATCAAATGTAGAAATTACATTAGAACAATGAAATTATTCTTACTTAGAATTAAAGGAATGGGAAAAGACCAGAAAAAATAAAAAGGCCCTACTGCTTAGCTACTGCAACTCCCAGAGATAAAGAATGGGAGATAAATGGATGAGCATGAGAATGAAAGATGAATTGGAATTAAAGGAGAGAGAGAAAAGATTAATCTTAGATGTTTAAGGTAATGCTTATTAAGAAGTTACACACTGCTTAGCTGAATAAGTGGCAACTGAAAAGAAGCATAACTGCTAAGATATTATTGGTCTGCAAAGATAAGTAAATGATGTTTTTATTTTGAGACAGAATCTCACTCTGTTGCCTGGGCTAGAGTGCCATGGCGTCAACCTAGCTCACAGCAACTCTAACTCCTGGGCTCAAGTAATCCTCCTGCCTTAGCCTCCAGAGTAGCTAGGACTACAGGCATGTGCCACCATGCCTGGCTAATTTTTTCTATATATATTTTAGTTGGCCAATTAATTCCTTTGTATTTTTAGTAGAGACGGACGGGGTCTCGCTCTTGCTCAGGTTGGTCTCGAACTCCTGACCTTGAATGATCCACCCACCTCAGCCTCCCAGAGTGCTACGATTACAGGCGTGAGCCACTGTGCCCAGCCTCAGTAAATGATGTTTTATTAATCTAGGGACTCTCTAATACAAGAAAGAGACCTAGAAAGGAAAACAGAAATCCATAGATATTCTAAATTCATTTTTTTGTTTTCTTGAGACAGGGTGTGTGTCTCTCTCTCTCCCCTCTGGGCTAGAGTGCAGTAGCATCTTCATAGCTCACTGCAGCCCAAAATCCTGGGCTCAAATGATCCTCTAGCATCAGCCTCCAGAGTAGCTGAGACGATAGGCATGTCCCACCACAGCTGGCTAATTTTTCTATTTTTCGTAGAGATGGTGTCTCTCTTACTCAGGCTGGTCTTGAACACCTGGACTCAAGCAATCTTCCTGCCTCAACTTTCCAAAGTACTAGGATTAAAGGTGTGAGCCACTGTGCCCAACCCCAAATAATCCCTTTTAATGATTAGTTTTACTCACTTTATCCATTTTGTTTTATTTATGACACTAAACCCTGGTATTGAACAATAATTAGGCTAAAATTTAATAATTGCTTGATACGTGTTTGGCACTATATTAGCTACTATCAGAGATTCAAAAGAATGAAGAGATACTGCCCTTGAACTCAGAGAGCTTACAATCTAGTTGCTCAAACAAAACCAAACATAACAAGGAAAAAAAATAGGTGGTACAGTAAAGTATAATAGGATTTTAGACAATTGTCAATGGCTAGAGTAGTCAGGGAAGACATTCCTGAAAGAGTATGACACTGTGGGGTGCCTTGTGGGATAATGGAATAGTAGAGAGAAGAGAAAGCACATTAGGCAAGTGGCTTAGTAGACAGCTTAAGCAAAAGCCCAGGGGTAGAAGTGGATGTGGGGTGTTTACAGAACATTGAGGAAAAACTGCCTGGCTTGAGGAAATTTGGTGATATGAGAGAGTAATTAGAAATAAGGTTTAATCTATAGATGAAATTATGATGAGCCTTAAAAACCACACAGAAAAGCCTGGAGTTATGCTATTGTAGATTCTGGAGTACTTTATGCCCTAAATTTCTTCTCTGCCTTGAAGGAATACAAACACAACTGTATTCGTAAGCTGTATTCTCATGGTCTTTCACTGGAAGGAGGGTGCACAGGTTAAGGGCAGTGTTCTCAAAGTTGACATTAACTTAACAGAGTGACATGCATGATGGACAAAAATAGAGTTGGGGAACAGTAGAGGCTACTGTACTACTGGGCATGCATTGGTGAATGGTTTCAGCAAGATAGGAGCAGTCCGGAAAAAAAAGGGGAGGGAAAAGAAAGATAAACAAGACTTGGTGATAAAGGACAAAAGGAATAAGGAAAAGAAAGAGGAATAAGGAAAAGTAAATGTTTTAAGTTTCTAGCTTAAGAAATGAAAGAATGGTCAGGCGTGGTGGCTTATGCCGCAATCTCAGCATTTTAGGAAGCCAAGGTGGCAGGATCGCTTGAGCCCAGGAATTTGAGGTTGTAGGAATTTGAGCTATGATTGGGCCACTGCACTCCAGCCTGGATGACAGAGACCTTATCTCTAAAAAAGATAAAAAGTAAAAAAAAATAAAGCCATCATGCCTAATTACAGGGAGTTTATGGTTTACATGGGGAGAAAAATGTTATTCAGATCATAAAAATAAACATAAAAGTACAACTATGACATAGGCTTAGAGGAATTATATAGTTGTATGAAAGCCTTGATTAGGGGAATTTGATCTAATCAAGGATATCAGGAAAGTTTCTGAGGAAGTAAAAGCATGAACTGAAAAAGGTAAAAAAAACCAAAGAAAAACATGTTAGGCAGAAGAAATAGAAAGTGGTATTTTCATTATTGAACTGGAGATGATGGCTGCATATTGAAGTGAAAAATACCTGTAAGGCATTTGCAAATATTGACTGGAGTACAGATGAGCATTTAGGGAGGAAGATTTGAACATATTTAGTGAAAACTGGTAGTTGAGTCTAGGAGAGTAGATGAAGGTAGAAAAGTAGAGTTGAGGCTAGAACCTTGAGGAATATCCACAATTAGGGAAGAGTAGAACAAAGCAGAATACAACCAAAGGGAAGAGATTAAAGAATTACAGGCTAAATGAAAAGTGGAGGATTTTATTAAAGAGGTGGAGGTAGACTCCAGACTACAGGTACTGAATGTTTCATTGTGAGTTGACATTTCCATACCCCAGGACACATAGCCAGAGTTCTAGGCCTCTAGTTCCATACTATGTTGTTTTCAATACTGGAGAAACAAAGGAATTTTGAGTGAGATAGTTCGCACCAGAGCAATGAACTTGAACCACAATAGAATCATGTCTAAGCCTGTTGGAATTTCATGCCAGAATTGGATAAAGGAAAAATAAGGAATAGAATGGTGAAATGTTGATATGAAGATGAGATTAAATGAGAAAGTTCAGACTGGGGAGAAACTAGATGATAAAAGGCTTACCAAGGCAAGTACCCTGGTTCAACCTTGCTTTTCACCATTAATAGCTGTTGTGTGTCATCATCATGATCATCTCCATACATATATTTCTGTTTCTTGAGTTCAACACGTCTCAACTTTAATATATTAACTTGCCTAACATTTTATCACATCTATGTTTATAAAAGCTCATTTTGAAAATAAAAAGCCCATCCAAGGGAAGCATTTCACGTAACACTTTAAAAGTGTAGTTGAAGCCTGGTGTGGTGGCTCATACCTGTATTGCCAGCACTTTGGGAGGCTGTTGCAGGAGAACCGTTTGAGGCCCGGAGTTCAAGACCAGCCTGGACAATATAGTGAGACCCTGTCTCTACAAAAACATTTTAAAAATTAGCTGGGTGTGATGGCGTGCACCTGTAATCCCAGCTACTTGGAAGGCTGAGGCAGGAGAATGGCTTGAGTCCAGGAGTTCAAGGCTGCAGTGAGCTATGACCACACCAATGTACTCGAGTGTAGGTGACAGAGCAAGACCCTGTCTGTAAATAAAAGTGTAGTTGATATATGAAGACATGAGGAGACACTACCTCATTTTGTTGACTTTTACCTACCACAGGAAATACAGCCAGAGTTGTAGGCCTTCAGTTCCAGACTATGTTGTTACTGGCAGTGGAGAAACAAAGGAATTTGGGTAAGATCTTTCTTGCTAAAGTAATAAACATGAGCCTCGTCACAGTGGTTCTTGAGTGCATCTTAGATGTGCTAGAGTTGAGTGAGAGTAATAAGACAAGGTCTGTTATTCTGAACCAAGTTTCATGTGTGTATAGTTGTTGACAGCCCTATTTTATCATTATTGCAGGGAGGAAAGTAAGCTTCAAGATGAAACCTTCATCACTCAGCAGGTTCCAATATCAGGCTTTTCTGGTGAAATGGTGCTACCCGGTATTCCAAAAGAATCACAGTAGTCTGACATAGTAAGTATGTAACCAAACACTGTACATAACTGTTACCCTTCCCCATGCAGCTTCTACCCAAATTACAGTTCTTTTCTCTGCTAGCTAAGAGCCCTCAGGGATCATGGAATGAGTAATAGAAAGCACTAATATGAGATTGTGGAAATTTTTATAAAAATATCCATACTGAAGGCATATTATACTTAATGGAAAACCTATAGATTGCCTTTTGAAATAAGCAGCCTAGCCAAAATGTGTACTATCTTTTATGTAAGAGTAAATATAATGACCTTGTAAGTCTTGGCTGCGGACATAGGTGGGAAGCTGAGAATCACTACAATCTAGGGGACAAAGGCATTATAAGGAAGTATGGCATCATTAAAAAAAAAAAGCCATGCTTTTCCTTTTTAGAGTTTTTTACTTACAATTTATTATTTATAATCAATTAGCAAAATGTAGAATCTGAGAAATTTATAATGAGGCCACATCAGAGCAAAAAGAAAATAAAATAGTGAATTTTTTAGCTGCCATAGCATGAATATAACTGATTTTTTTCCATCTAAGAAATAAGAAAATCTGAGCAAGTAGCTGGCTAAGTGAATTGATTCTAACTAGAGCAACATAATTCTGATTAGTTAGGGTTTGTTTTGTTTTGAGATAGGGTCTCACTCTGTTGCCTGGGCTCCAGTGCAGTGATGCAAGCATAGGTCACTGCAACCTCAGACTCCTGGCCTGAAGCGATGCTCCTGCCTTTGCCTTCCAAAATGTTAGGATTATAGGCATGAGCCACCACTCAGCCAGTCGGTATTTTTTTTAAGTGTGATTTCCTTTAAATGTAAAGAAATATTAAGAGGCTCTGTGATTATATTTAATCCCTCTTAGAAATTAGATAACAATGATCTTTTATACAACCCAGCCTATAGCTGTTATTGTATTAAATTAAATTGTATTAAATAAATATCACCACTAGTTGTCAGCTGTGATAACAAGGAGCACTGTATTCAAATTATAAATTTCTATTGCCTCACCTTTAGGAAAGTAGAATTAAAAAAAAAAAAAAAAGACCCAGTAGGATCATAAGTATATTTTATTAAAGTCCCAGTTACCTTAAATGATTGAAGATTCTGACATTCTACAGCCAACTGGTAGTAACAAGCCTAAAGTCCACAGAGCGCACAACATTTTCAAGGTTTTTCACCATCCTTTGGTATAGCAAAAAGAGAGAATCCATTCAATTGAGCACATCAATTTCAGTTCTGACTTAAAGTTTAGATATATCAAAGAAACAAAAACCATGAGGGGGGTGATAGATAAAAATCTACTTATCTTGTAATCCTAGCACTCTGGGAGGCCAAGGCTGGCGGATCGTTTGAGCTCAGGAGTTTGAGACTAGCCTAAGCAAGAGCAAGAGCCTGTCTCTACTAAAAATAGAAAGAAATTAGCTGGACAACTAAAAATATATCGAAAAACTTAGCAGGGCATGGTGGCGCATGCCTGTAGTCCCAGCTACTTGGGAGGCTGAGACAGAAGGATTGTTTAGCTCAGGAGTTTGAGGTTGCTGTGAGCTAGGCTGATGCCACAGCACTCTAGCCCAGGCAATAGAGTGAGACTCTGTCTCAAAAAAAAAAAATCTATTTATTGGGTACAATGTAGACTGTTCTGGTGGTGGGTATACTGAAAGCCCTGACTTTAGCATTATACAGTTAAGTGATATAACAAAAAATACTCTGTACCCCCCCTAAATCTACTGGTGGGGGGAAGGAAACAAACAAATAAAAAGCATATAAAGGCAATTGAACTAATAGTAGAAGAAGATTCTGTCAAGGCATTTCTTTTTTTTTTTTTTTTTTTATTTTCTCAATAGTTCATCATGTATCCAAAAGGCATTTCTTTTTTGACCACTTTATGTCATGAAAAGCTTTGAAATTCTTAGGCCCCAATCAATTGAATTACATGAAGAGCTCTTTCATTGAAAAGTATATCACTAATAAGAAATGCAGAAAAGAGCAAAGAACATATAAAATTCAGCAAGTACTATCAGGTTAGACTTGCTTAAGGCAAGAGTTCTCACCCACTTTCATGTTTGGAACACTCCTTGATTTCCGAGCTTAAAAAAACTTGAAATAATTTTCTAAGAAAATAATTTGCATCTGAATTAATGGCTGGAGCATTAATTAAAGATTGCTGAAGCAAACCCCAAAACTTAACACTTGGCACACATAACAAAAAGTTGATTTATTCATTGTTTACTGAGGTATCACTGAGGTGATCTTCAGAAGCAGGCACAGTAACAATGATAGAATTAAATGGTGGTCATGAATTACTAGGACAACAAAGTGGTACTGAGCAGAAAAGAAGTGGTTGTCACAGTTTTGGGATAAATAGAAATGTATAATATCTTATGTAGTGTAGGGTAAAAGACAGGCTCAGGAAAAATTTGCAGAGGGACTCCCCCGCTGGCATTTATGTAGGGCTGTGTCTGAGGATCAACCAGAGGAGGGTGAATTATTTCTATCCTGCTTTCTCATCAAAGAGTTCATCTTCCAATTATTGGAAGACCTTCTTTACATATAGTCACCTTCCCCTCCTTTAAGTCATCAGAAAAGGGAAGAATTTTTAGAAAACACGTTTAAGCTCTTATTCCCAGATAAGCATTTCACAGTCACAATTACCTCAAAAATGTTAAGTATGAAGAGCAAGTGAAAAATCTGGTTTCAATGTTACACTAATAGTCTGCCTATAGCAACTTCGTAGGGACTGATAGTTCTGAGAAAGATTTTGGTTACAATGTATTCCAATTCCAGGGATCCAATCTGAGCAAAGTTGGCAAATCAAGCTGGTCAAAAATAAAGGCAGATTATTCAGGACGGACTGAGTCTTAAACAAACTTGTTTCTAACGGCCCATGGTAGGCATGGCTACAGCAGGTGAGGAAAGAGTAGCATCATCTTCTTTCCACTGAGAAGTGATGGTCTTTAACTGAGTGTAGAAATGGATGCCCTAGGGAAAACAAAGGGAAAAAAGGAGTTAGCATATATTTCTGGGGATTTCATGATTCTTTTTGTTGGCTTTTGAAGGAGGTGCTATGAAGTGCTACTCACATTCCTATTTGAGGAATGCAACCAAAATCTAATATGTTGTTCATGAGATAATTTATCTAAATGAGACATTTAGCATAGTACCTGGCACATAGTAAACGGTCAAATCTTAGCCATTGTTATTATGCCGAAACTAATACTTTAAGCCAAGAGCACCTCAATGGAAAACTTGAACAATATAATCTGTTAAACTTGCACGTCATTCTGCAAGAGTTGAATATCATGTGCCCTGAAGTCAACAGATTTGGCTCAAATCCTGCCTTCTCCTCCTTATTGACTGCAATTTAACCTTGAGCCTTATCTGTGTGACATAATGCCCACCTCACAGCAATGTTTTGAGGAGAAAAATGAAATGACATGCAAAAACATCCTAGCAAAGTGACTGCTTTTCAACAGTTGTTAGTTTTCATCTCCTTCCCATGAAGAAGAAAAAGGAATAAAGGAGTGAAATATATGATAGGCAGTTTCTGATAAGCATTGATGATAATGAGCTCTATACCTGAAGTGGCAAACCCAAAATATCTTACAAATCCAAAGTAAAATGTCTGATATTACACAAATGCACTTTTTTTTTTAAGGCAAGCTTTTGCTCTGTTGTCCAGGCTGGAGTGCAGTGGTACTCATTGCTCACTGCAGCCTTTGAACTCCTGGGCTCCAGTGAACCTCCAGCCTGAGCCACTGCACCCAGCTAAATTTACTTCTAAATTACCTATAACATGTGAGCCAAAAAATTCAGCACATTTAAGGCTTTAAGTGTGTGGGTGATACATACATACATACACACACAGTTTATTATTTTATAAGAATAGGCTTGAACAAAAGAGAACCCATTGTGTAGATCTGACACATAAAATTATTAGCAAACTAGAATGATGATTTTTCAGTTTACTTATTTTTTTAATTTTTGAGATAGGGTTTTGCTATGCCACCCAAGCTAGAATGTAGTAGCACAACCATAGCTCACTGCAGCCTCAAACTCCTGATCTCAAGTGTTCCTCCTTCCTCAGCCTCCAAAGTAGCCGGGACTACAGGTGTGAGCCACTGCACTCGTACACCCAACTAATTTTTTTTTTCCTTGTAGAGAAGGGGTCTCACTAGGTTGCCTAGTCTGGCCTTGGAAGTCCTGGGCTCAAGAGGTCTTCCCAAAGTCCTAAGATTATAGGCATATGCCACCTCACCTGGCTAGGACAATGTTTTTAGAAAAACCACTACTGTGATTAAAATACTCTTCTAGAATTATTTGACAAAATTTGGACCATTTTAATGTATTAAAACAATTTTAGAGGGAGGCCGAGGCAAGTGGGTCGCCCAAGGTCAGGAGTTCAAAACCAGCCTGAGCAAGAGCAAGACCCCATCTCTACTAAAAATAGAAGAAATTAATTGGCCAACTAAAAAATATATAGAAAAAATTAGCTGGGCGTGGTTAATGGGTGGGAGTGGGGTTTGAATTAAACATAGTTTTACTCTGTTTCCCTTAAAAGAAATGCTTGTTACCAGTATCAAACTAGGCATTTTTGCAAAAGCTGTGACTTAATAAGCCTCCAGATAACCAAAGTGTTGACATTTTTTTTCTTGAGACAGGATCTTGCTCTGACACCCAGGCTGGAATGCAGTGGTGACATCATAGCTCACAGCAACCTCAAACTCCTGGCCTCAAGCAATCCTCCTGCCTTGGCCTCCCAGAATGCTAAGATTATAAGAATGAGCCACCATGCCTGGCTCAAAGTGTTGACTTCTTAACACTTTGGCCATACTGTCATCTATACTATGCAATACCATTGTTAATTTTTTATTAGCCTATAAAAGGGGAGACTTGTATAGAAAATAGGTACTTTATCAATGATAGTTCCAAAATGGCCATATTCCTTTAGGCCTACAAAGAATTTCCACTAGCCTGTTTGTTCAACAAATGTTCAGTCAACCTGCTCTGTGCAAGGTATTGTAGATAAGTAATAATTACAGTGTGATGAGGGCTTCTTAAGCTGGCTTCAAGAGCCCTATGTGACTTGGCCCCTGCCTACTTGTCTAACCTCATCTCTTCCCATTGTCTTCCTCATTCACTCAATGTGCTCCAGCCCATTTCTGCTGCTTGAACATGCCATGCCTCTTCCTGCTTTAGGACATATGGTCCTGCTGATGGAAGTGGCAATAATTCAATCTTCATAACTTTAAGTTTGAGGCATAAAGAGGGTGTCCCCCAAAGTCACACAGCTAATAACTGGCTGAGCTGGGATTTGAACCCAGGCAATTCAGTTGTAGATCTGGTTTATTTTTCTTGTTCACTGTTGTATTTGTAGTGCCTAGCATAGTATTTGGTACAAAAAAAGGTGCTCAATAAGATTTTTTGTAAACGAATTAACTATTATAGGAGAAATATGTGCAGTGGGAGCACATGGGGCATACCACTGAGGGAATAGGTCTTGGTCAGGGCTGATTTTCTAGGAATCCTTTCTTTAAACTCCAACATGAGAGATGATGAGGAGTTAGACAGATGAAAGGGGAGAGATGAGGAAGAGGATCATAGGCAGAGGAAATGGCATATACAAAGGCTTGGACTTCCCCATGCCCTTTCCGCAAAACTTTGTTTCCTTGAGTTATTCAGGAGGAAGCAGCTTTGGCAAAATTTTGTTGACCTTTAAATCTTTTTTAGGGGATCTTGTGAGGAGCACTGATAAACATATGACCCCACAGAAGCTGCTGGACGGCCCTTCCTTGGAGAATTCTTGCTCCCGAATATGTTCAAGTTTCTTAAAGGGAAAAACAAATTTTAACTCAAAAAGTTACCTGTTTGCCATAGAAATTGGTGTCTCCCCTGAAGGAAGATCGAGAGCCAGTGAATGAGAACATTGGCAAAGGCACTGGAATGGGGACATTCACTCCCACCTAAAGCAGAAACAAATCCACATCAAATACTAAGTGAAAGACTCAAAAAGGAACTTTCCATTTACAAGCACAAAGACGTCACAGACCAGCTTTAAATACCCACCTTCCACCCCACCCTCTACTCATGAATTTTTATTCGTAAGGAAGATATAGAGCACTGCCGGAGATTGGAGGGGCAATCTTTAAACAAGTTGCAGTGACTGATCACTGTTTACTGTTTCCTCTTCGAAAATAGTAAATGGCTATGAAAATAGCCTAAAAATTCTCTTCACAAACCTGTCCAACATCCACCAGGTGAGAATATTTCCGAGCAGTGGCTCCACTAGTGGTGAAGATGGCAGTTCCATTTCCATATGGGTTATCATTTACAATTTTGATGGCTTCATCCAATGTTTCTGTCTCTAGAACCACAAGAACTGGACCAAAAATCTCCTCTTTGTAACAGGTCATATTTGGCTGCCAGGAGGGATGCATCCAGAAAAGAAGTCGACTTTTTAGATTCTGAGTGTTTTATGCTTATTTGGTACTTTCACTTAATACACATAATTTACATGGACAGCTTTCCTTTTAACAATTTTCATTTTAAACCACCTATAAAAAAGTCTTGTCTTACTGTGTTCCATCCTCCAACCTACCAATCATATAAACAATTTGAAAGTCCTATTAACTATAACTACACTCCTTATCTTTAAGCACTGTTTCTTTAGTTCATGACCCATTACTAGCTTCTTTGTTAATACCTGAACAACTTGTTTCATACAGTTATGTTACCAATTACATGAAAATTCATTTCTTATTACTCAAATCTATATTAAATGTACGAGAATTTTTCTGTTTATAGAAATCCCATGCTGTTTTCTGTAACAATCTATTTTCATTCACTTCTTTACCTCCCAAATAAGTCTATACATTTATATTTTGATATCAGGTCACAATGTGTGTGTGGACTAGTTGCAGTGGTTCAAAACATCCTTCACCACTGCAACCAGTCCGCATTTGTTGCTGATAAGTGGGTTTTTCCTCTATGCTTCTATAGCAAGAGACTTCATGATTTCTACTATACTTGCATTCAACTCTGGATTTATTCAGGATTATAGTGGGGATATATGAATGTCAGGGGGGAAAAAAGCCTCCTAACCATAATTTAGTCATGAATGTTAGGTGAGAGACTTTCAGAGTTTTGATAAATAAAAATTGACAGATCAGTTCTTTTTCTTTTGTCACTTTCTGGTGAAGATGTAGCTAAATTTTGGGCACAGAGTAGGTATTCAATAAATATTTAGTGGTTGATATATTGACTGAGACACTATAGTAGCTATAAGCTAGGCAGCAAGAAGGAAGAGAAAATTAACATTAAATAAGTAACCAATATAATATAAGATAGGGGTTGGCAAACTACAACCTGTGGGCCATACGTGGTATCCTGCCTGTTTTTGTATAGCCCACAAGCTAAAAATGGTTTCTGCATTTTTTAAATGATTGGAAAAAAATATCAAAAGAATATTTCATGACATGTAAAATTATCCAGAATTCAAATTTCAGTGTCCATAAATAAAGTTTTATTGGAACATAGCCACACAATGTTTATGGCTGATTTCACACTATAATATCAGAGATGAGTAGTTGCAACAGAGACTATATATCCCTGCAAAGTTGAAAATACCTAGCCATTTATGGAAAGTTTGTTGACCTCAGGTATAGTGGGAAGAGCTCTGGTTAGGAGTTAGGAGGGAAGACTCATTCAGACTCCAGACAAAATAACTAAGCAATTCTGGCAAGAAATGTCTTAGTCATTAAATGCCTTAATTTATAAATTAGAGGGATAAGACTCTACAGCTCTAAGGTTCCTTCAGCTCTCATATTTGTGAAAAAAATCAAGGAGTTGTTCACCTTCACATTTGAGATGATAGTTGGTCCAACAAAGTTGCCATTTTCATAGCCTTTGACTTTAATTTTTCGCCCATCAAGAAGGATGGAAGCTCCCTCCTTTGTTCCACTATCAATTAGATGACAGACTCGTTCTTTGGCCTGGGGAGTGATCAGAGGGCCAAGATCAGCTCCAGGCTGGTCTCCTGTAAAAAAAACATAGAAGTATTTAAGATCTTCATTAACACACCATGACTGCTAACACAGATAAACCCAAATGACAAGGACAGTATAAAGGGAAGCAATGGTAAGAATAGACATGATTGCTTCTACTAGGCAAGGCCAATGCTAAAATCAAGAGTTTAGTGCCATAGATGTAAAATCTAAAGGAGCTAGACAGGTGATTTATTACCTGCATTGACTCTCAGGTTTTTGGCACGATCCACTAGTTCTGGCAGCCACTTTTTAGCTTCCCCCACAAAGATTGCTGTGGAAAGAGCCATGCAGCGCTGACCAGCAGCTCCAAATGCTGCCCCAACCAGCTGGTTCAGGGCATTTTCCTTATTGGCATCTGGCATGACTACTCCATGGTTCTTGGCTCCCTAAAGAAATACAAAAAGTACATTAGTCTTCCTTGCCAATACAATTAAGCTAAGAAAGTTAGCAAGGAATCTGAGCTTTCAAATGAGGATTTAAGGAAAGGACTAAAGAATTCATCCTCTGTTGCTTTGAGGACAGAGATTTATTGTGTTTAATACTGTTGAAGTCTTGGCAACACTAAGCAAGTAAGTCTTCAGGTTGCTTTTTCTTTACTTTCTAGCTGATAACCTGATATGTGTTGATTTAGATCAAAACCACTACCAAGAACAAAAAAAATTTTTAAAGTCCTAATCACATCCAAACTGACAGATTAAATATTGTATCCAGAACCCCCCCTTTTCCTAAGTTAAACAGGAAAGAATGTGTTATCTGCTGGGGTTTCAAGTTCTATGAAGAGCAATGTAAGCAAAGAGCTACCAGTAAGAATGCTAGAAATCAGCTGAAAGGTAAAATAGGAGGTAGACCACCTAATACATAATTTTAAGAAAGAAGTCTCCCAAACTGGTTTACTGCCAGATACAAAGCTTCATAAACTTCTTTTCTATGTAGGATGATGTATGGTTATTTCCATATGATACAGTTGAGTGTATGGTTAGATACCATGTCTGGTACTTAATTTTATCCCATCACACATAATGTTGAACACAGAATATACTCAATAAATATGTAGTGAACTGGAAGGGGCTTAAGTCAAGTTGGCCAAAACATTCAGCCATGAAAAATAAGTGAGCATATCCATGAACTATTTGCAAGCCTGTACAGAGATGGTTGTTTTTTCTACAACATTAACTAAAGGAAAAAAAAAATGAGAAAGCTGCAATAGGACTTTATATTTACTCTCAAAGAGTTTCTATGTATTTGGCAAGGAACTAGTAAGAGGACAGCAAAACTTGCCACCAAGTAAACCACACTCACATGTCAAATGTTATCAAATGGGGATATGTGGCTCTTTCCAGTGCCTTAAGTAGCCTGGACCCTTAGGGAAGATCATATCTTTGATATTGGTAGTAAGGATATGCCTTAAAAGAAGGAAGGATAAAGGGCTAGAAGTACGGTATAAGGGAGGAAATGGCCAGAACCAGAATCTGGCTGTTAACTGCTAAAGCCCAAAGAATTTGATAACATTCTTAGGGAGGAATGTACCCTCTGTCACCAAAATTAGTTGCATATGATAAAAGGTAATTAATATGACTTTGAATGAAATTCCTCAAAAGGTTCATTGTTAAAGAGAAAATGTTCAGGATGAAATGGTAATTAAAAATCACTGACATTAGAGTGGAATGAGTGGCTCCTCTGAAGGGCTGTTTCTAGGTAATTTAAATACATAACAAAGATTGGAGAAATAAGGAATAATAATCACCATGTTGGCTTGAACCCTCTTGCCGTTTCTCGATCCTCTCTCAAAGATGTACTCTCCTGCTTGGTTGGAGCCCACAAAGCTGATTGCTTTGATGTTTGGATGATCACAAATAAAATTTACAGCTTTAAGAAGAAAATAAATGATTACCACAAAGGCATAAATGGCTTCTCAACATGGCACATTTCTCCTTTCCCTACTGCTATGGATTTGAAGTTCTGTTTTCTATATTTGATTCATTTGATTTCATTTGTTGTCTATATTTGATTCTCATTGTGAAGTTCTCTTCTTGGTTTTTTTTTTTTTTGAGACAGAGTTTCGCTTTGTTGCCTAGGCTAGAGTGAGTGCCGTGGCGTCAGCCTAGCTCACAGCAACCTCAAACTCCTGGGCTCCAGCGATCCTTCTGCCTCAGCCTCCCGGGTAGCTGGGACTACAGGCATGCGCCACCATGCCCGGCTAAGTTTTTCTATATATATTAGTTGGCCAATTAATTTCTTTCTATTTATAGTAAAGACGGGGTCTCGCTCTTGCTCAGGCTGGTTTCGAACTCCTGACCTTGAGCAATCCTCCCGCCTCGGCCTCCCAGAGTGCTAGGATTACAGGCGTGAGCCACCACGCCTGGCCTCTTCTTGTTTCTTTTAAATTTTTTAAATTACAAATTCTATTTAGCCTCTTCTATTTTGTTGTTTTTCTTATTTGCTATTCCAGAATTTCCATGTCTAATCTAACTCTTAAGGCTACAACTTCTATTTCCCTCCCAAATAACAGCCTTTTAATATTGAACCCTTCCATTTTGTCCTTTAAGAATATGGTATTTCCTTAACTATGTACTGGGACTCGCAGATATTATTGTATCCTCTTGTGAGAGGTAATATAGCATAGTAATGAAAAGCAAAAATCAGAGGCTTCTTGGGTATACACATCCTGACTTTGAGTTTCTAGCAGTGTGACCTTGGGCAAATTACTTAATTTTACCATTTCTCAATTTTCTCTTCTATAAAATGGAAAAATAATATACCTACCTCAAAGGATGATTGTAAGGATTAAATAATATATGAAAAGCACTAAGAACAGTGCCTGAAACACAGAAGCACTAATTAAGTATTAGCTATTATTATATGAGTTAGAAGGCCTTCAGCATTTTTGAGGTTTATAAATCCTGAGTTAAATCTTCTCATGAATTCCCTTAACACTGAAGCAAAAACTTTCTATTTAACCTTTTTGTTTTCTTTTTTTTGAGACAGGGTCTTGTTCTGTTGCCTGGGCTAGAGTGCAATGGCATTATCATAGCTCACTGCAACCTCAAAATGGGCTGAAGCAATCCTCCTGCCTCAGCCTCACAAGTAGCTGGGACTACAGGGGTGCACTACCACACCCACCTAACTTTTGTATTTTTTGTAGAGATGGCATCTTGTTATGTTGCTTAGGCTGGTCCCAAACTCCTGGCCTTGAGCAATCCTCCTGCCTTGGCCTCCCAAAGTACTGAGATTATAGGCATAAGTCACCACGCCCAGCCTCTCTTTAAATTTATCTGTTTCTAGTGTCTCAAAATAAACTGTGGGGCAAAAAGCACAGCTACTCCCCAGTTAGTTATCTTAGTACACAGAGATGGCAAAACAGTCAACAATCATTACCTTCAAACATGGAGGTTACAATTAGTAAATTCCTTCTCCATAGGTTCCATATCCTAAAATGTCCAATTACTACTCAACCCCTTGATTCTTTTGGGTAGCCATTTAGTAGCCACATGCAGAAGGGAGTTACCTTCATGTTGTCCATGAATGATGTTCAGTGTTCCATCAGGGGCACCAGAATCCTGGAGCAACTTAGCAAGAAGCATAGTTGCTCCAGGGACTCGCTCTGATGGTTTCATTATGAAGGTATTTCCACACACCATGGCCATGGGAAACATCCAAAGGGGGATCATGGCAGGAAAATTGAATGGAGCAATGCCTGCACACACTCCCAGAGGCAGACGGTAGGAATAAAGGTCCATGTCTTTGGTGATGGATGGCATGGTCTCTCCCAGCATGAGAGATGTCACACTACAGGCATGCTCAACCACCTCTGGAACAGAGAAGAAGTTAGGCCACGAGTTTTCCACACTGTGTACTACTTAGCACTGTCATGCTCTGTTCATCCTTGAGGATAGGGAGTGGTTCAGGCCAATGGGGGGCAGGGGGACACTGACTTGACCTTCCAAGTGAAGGGGTTGTACAAAATGAGATTCTCTGAATGAGAAAAAGACAGCAATATGCATATACCTACTGGAAGATCACCTGAATAATATAAAGCATATACCTACTGGAAGATCACCTGAATAATATAAAGAACAAAGTAAATTGGTCTTATAGATACCTGAGAAGTATTACCATTTTCCATAAGTATTAAAAAGATATCGTGAGATGGCAAAATCTACATAAAGAATGAAGCAACCTCCCCATACTAGAATATTTGCCTCCCATCTTCCTTCCCAAAAGTCCCAGGAGGGACTCTCAGCTTACGAAGGCCGCGAAATACATCTCCTTCAGCATCAGCTAGGGTCTTCCCTTGTTCCAACGTGATTAACTTGGCGATTTCTTTCTAGAGAGAAAACACATAAATAGAAATTAGTACAAGGATGTCCCTCCTGTTATCAGGTAGCCAAGGAAGAACAAAACTGGAGGAGCAGCAGAAGGGAGAGCAGCTGAAATGGTCTCTGAGGGAGTGAAAAGTAACAGTTTGCAAATTATACCATTCAAATTTCTTACCAAGTTTTCTTTAATAAGTTGTTGATAGCGGAGCATGACCTGCTGACGGCTTAATACTGAAGTGTCTGCCCATGCAGGAAAAGCACGTTTGCAGGAAGCGACGGCTGCATCCATTTCAGCCTTGGTGGCCTGAGGGACACGACCGATTACCTCATTGGTGGCCTGATGGGAAAAAGAAGCACACCATACTTTGCCCCTGCCTCATAGTCTCCATTTTACATCTAGTCCCAGAAGCAGCACTATGTATTTTACGATAGACACCCATGCCTGTACTTTTCCACCATGGTCCTAGAATTCCGGCCTTGTAAGCAGCTTCACTTACTGGATTGTGGATATCGATCCATTTGTCGCTTTTGGATTCAACAAATTTCCCATCGATGAAGAGCTTTACAGTTGGCTGAAGAAAACCCACAAAACTTAGAATTAGTTAATTGCTTTGCTTCTCCTTTTCCCTTTTACAAAGAGGAAAGAATCCAGGTTGATAACTGAATCTTCTGGTCTCTAGAAATGTTACCTCTAGGAAAGAGATACATGATATGCTTGTGTACAGTGTACATCAAGATGTGGTAGAGCCTCTCAATACTGTGATCTCTCTGACAATGGGAAATTCTCAGCTACTCATACAGTAGAACTTCATGAGCAACATCATGGCACTGTGAAAGTTATACTAAAAAAGCAACTCTGTTAACAAAGATTAGCTTTGGGGATTTGTTGGCCCAGCTGACTTTCTCTTACATTACTATGAGCATGTATTACCTTTAAGATTAAATGGCTTTTAAAATGTTTCTATCTATGTGCATTTCTTCTGAGAAATAGCTCACTTTCACTAAACTTTCAAAGGGGTCTGTGAGCCAAACAAGGTAAAAGAACACTGTGTTATAGAAGTATGGGTGCATACTTCTATATGGCAAGGATTTAGAGCAGTAGTCCTTATTTATTATGTTTTACGTAATGCAAATGACTGACAGACAGATGGTATGTAAAAACAATTCTAAAGGTTGTTAAGAAGAAGAGAACTGCCTGGAAGGGTCTACAAAACTTCTAAAAGCCATGAAAATGTTTGTATCATCTGACATAGTAATCCTATTTCAGAAGGGAAATAATCCAAAAGAAAGCAAAAAAAAAAAAAAACTATAAATAAATGTCTGTTGTATAATATTGAAACAGTGAAGCAATCTAAATGTTATACAGAGAAATAATTAATTCAAGCACATCTACTTGATGGAATATTATACAGCCATTGAAATTATAACTATAAAGACCATCTTATAATATTGACATTGCTTGCAATGTAGTAGACATAATTTAGATAAGAAAACCAAGATAGAACATTTTACACACACTCTTATCACAATTGTGTCAAGAAGGTAAATGGGAATACCCAAAAACTATATTGGATTCCTTCTCAGAAATCAATCCTTTTTTTTCTGGAGATAGGCTCTTGCTTTGTCAGTGGGACTAGAGTGCAATGGCATCATCATAGCTCACTGCAACCTCCTGGGGTCAGGCAAGTCTCCTGCCTCAGCCTCCTGAGTAGCTGGGACTATAGGCATGTGCTACCATGCTCAGCTAATTTTTCTTTTTTAGTAGAGGCAGTGTCTCATTTTACTCAGACTGGTCCCAAACTTTGAACCTCAAGCAATCCTCTTGCCTTGGCCTCACAAAGTACTAAGATTACAGGTGTGAGCCACTGCCCTTGGCCAGAAATCAATCTTGATGCCAAATAAACTCACCACTGAAGAAGAAAAGGAAGATGCTGAATACCAGGTGGATTTCACTTTGGAAGAAAACTGTAAGACAAAATAATAATTAATTTGATATGTTAAAGCAGAAAATTATTTAAAATTTAGCAAATGGTTGCTATATGCTTAACACACTAACTACCATGTGTGGATGAAAAAGTCCTTGGTGCTTTTTTTGAGATAGAGTCTTGCTCTGTTAACTAGGCTATAGTGCAATGGTGTGTAGCTCACTGCAACCTCAAGCTCCTGGATTCGAGTGATCCTCCATTTTTTTTTTTTTTTGAGACAGAGTCTCTCTTTGTTGCCCAGGCTAGAGTGAGTGCTGTGGCATCAGCGTAGCTCACAGCAACCTCAAACTCCTGGGCTCAAGCAATCCTGTTGCCTCAGCTTCTCAAGTAGCTGGGACTACAGGTATGCGCCACCATGCCCAGCTAATTTTTTCTAAATATATTAGTTGGCCAATTCATGTCTTTCTATTTATAGTGGAGACAGGGTCTCGCTCTTGCTCAGGCTGGTTTCGAACTCCTGACCTCGAGCAATCCACCTGCCTCGGCCTCCCAGAGTGCTAGGATTATGGCGTGAGCCACCACACCTGGCCCAAGCAATCCTCCTGCCTCAGCCTCCTGAGTAGCTGGGACTACAGGCATGTGCCACCACGCCTGGATGATTTTTCTATTTTTTAAGTAGAAATGGGGCTTGCTCTTATTCAGGCTGGTCTCGAACTCCTGAGAGCAAGCAACCCTCCTACCTCAGCCTCTCAGAGTGCTAGGATTACAGGTATCAGCTATTGTGCCAAGTCCTTCTTATACTCTCAGTAGAGGTGACATGGTAACTCATGTCCACCTTTCTAAAACCCCTTTCACACTTGTCTTCTGTGATGCCCTGGTATCTCTATTTGGCCACTTTTCTGCCTCTTTGCTGGCTCATCCTCTTCTACTTGGCCATTAACTCAAGGCTTAGTCCTAAGCCTTCTTTTCTTCTCATTTTGCATACACTCCTGGAGTGATTTTTATCAATTCTTATGACTTAATTATCTAGATCTTGATCATGCCCAAATCTGTAGTCATTTAGCCAAATCTTCCTCTTCAGATAATAACCACATAACCAGCTGGGCATGGCGGCTCATACCTGTAATCCTAGCACTCAGGAGGCCGAGGTGGGAAGATAACTTGAGGTCAGGAGTTTGAAACCAGCCTGAGCAAGAGGGAGACCTGTCTCTACTAAAAATAGAAAGAAATTAGCCAAGCAACTAAAATAAGAAGAAAATTAGCTGGACATGGTGGCACACACCTGTAGTCCTAGCTACTTGGGAGGCTGAGACAGGAGGATAGCTTGAGCCCAGGTGTTTGAGGTTGTTGTGAGTTAGGCTGATGACATGGCACTCTAGCCCAGGCAACAGAGCAAGACTCTCTCAAAAACAAACAAAAAAAAAAAAACACAACATTTTTACCCGCTGTTGATCATTGAAAAATAAATAAACAAACAAATAACCACATAACCATTTTCATCACATCTTTACTTGGATATTACTTGGGCAACAATGAAAAAGCTGAACTCGGCATCTTTTGACCACCAATCTGCTTCCTATAGTCCACCTTTCAGTAAATGGGGCCATTATTTACCTAGTTGCCCAAGGATTCCACCCCAACTCCTCCCTCTCACTTCACAGTAAATCCAACAAGTCCTGGCGATCTGTCCTAGAAGTCTTTGGAACTGCCCCATTCACCCTAGCCCTCCTGCCATTACCAGTCTATACTATCATTGTCGTTCACCTAATCTTTAATAATGGTTCTTAGCAGGTCTCCCAGCCTCCAGTCTTAAACTTTCTGACTCTAGTTTCTATCCCATAATCAGAGAGTCTAAAAACACAAATCTGGTCAGATCATTTCCTTGTTTAAAACTTTCCAGTGGCTTTCCACTGCTCCTGGGATAAGACTAATCTCTTTGATGTTGTTTAGAAGACTCTACATATACATAGTATTTTTGCTTCTTTAGTTTTATAGCTTTCCTCTTTCTTCCTTGTTCTGTAGGCTCCAGCCATTTTGAACCTGTTTTGTGCTCTTTGCCCTTGTACATGCTGCTCCCTTATGCCTGGCACTGTTTCATCTCATTTGCTTGGCTCACTCCCACTCCTTGAGGTCCTCATTTAGCCATCACTTTCTCTAGAAGTCTCAACCTCTGGTCTAGGGTAAGTACCTGATTGTGAAATTCACAAAGCACCCAAATTCCTTGCCAAGACTTTCATTTAAACTCTCAGCGAAGTTACAGTTTTCATGTTGGGAGGTATTGTAAATAAGGGCACATGGTTCTGCCACCAGTATGTTCCCACATTCATCCAGGTACTAAACGTCCCGAAAATAGATGATAGAAAATGGAGCAAAGAAGACAAGCAGCAAAAGTTCCCCCCAAAGTCAGCTCCTCTAATGCCAACACACCCTCAATCTGTCCATGGCGATTGGGTCCTCTCTGAAGCCAGCCTAAGGAGAGAGGAGCCTAAGGTGGTAGAGGAGCTGCGTGCTTGAAGCCTGTGATCTCCAACTCTGTTCATAGTGGTTCCCTGTTTTCACAGCCTAGAAAGGACTTAGAATATGAGGCAAGATTTACTGCAGGCAAGATTCTCAAACCTCCAAGAAACAATATTACTTTTTTTACTCATTACATCCAGCCTGGGAATGTCCTCTCACATTGCTGGGCTTTTAGGTAACATTAGCATCCACCAAGCTTCAGTGAGCTCTGCTACAGGAACATATGCATTTTTAAGATTCTTGACAGAATCAGAAAAGGTTCATGTTTAAATAAGCTATTTAATGGTACAGTATGGAGAATGGGTTTGAGGTATTTGCCAGATGGTCTGGTTTCAGTCAATATTTCTTGCCTTGATCCTAGTTATGTTCTAGTATCTTTTTTATAGTAGCAGGGAAACAAAGTTTCCACTTTGTATTTTCCGTTACCAACTTGTTGAATTTTTTTACCAAAATTGCTTCTCCTTTGCCTCCTCTTTCCCTCTCATCACCCTCTTTGCCTCTCATCACGAGTCATTGAGAACATTGAGAAGATATTTTGTCCTTTCCATCAAGGAGGAGAATCTAATCTCTCTTTCCATGTACTTTATTTGGAAATAAACACTGTTTTCCAATTCATTTGAGGAAGCTTCTGAACTGAAGCTTCTTTAAGAAGAAGAAAGGAAAAGAACGGAGATAGTAATCTTTAGTCACCTAGAAGCTGAACATGAAACTTTGATAAAGAATAGACCAGATTCTGGCAGCCATGAATTTTATATATTAGAGGACTATCAAAAGGATCTATAAAGGAGAGAGTTTTAAATTATTTCAAGTATTCACCTTATCTTCTTTCTATCAAGGGTGGCAAAACTTAACCTAAAACCTCTCTCTACTCTCGTGATATTAGCATTCCCATTGGGAGATAAGAAAACTAGTCTTGCCAGGCCCAGTGGCTGTAGTCCTACACAGCCTGCTGAGGTGGGGATTGCTTGAGGCCAGGAGTTGGAGACTAGCCTGGATGATATAGCCAAACCACTTCTCTAGGGGGAAAAGAAAGAATAAAAGAATATGTGTGAAGATTAGAGTTAATATAATGAAGTAAATTACTTGACACCCTAAAGTTGTCAAGGTCACCCAACTAGTAATAATGATGGAGTTGAGAATTCTTAAGCCAAATAGCAAGTAGGAAATAAACATTTACAGAGCAGAAAGTTTGGTGTGACTGATCACACAGGATATAGTTTCTTCAGCAACAGTAATAATGAATGTTTCTTACAAAATTAAGGTAGGAGATAAAACCTGTCAAAACTATATGATAGGCTCATGCCTGTAATCCTAGCACTCTGGGAGGCCGAGGCAGGCAGAGGCAGGTGGATCCTTTGAGCTCAGGAGTTCCAGACCAGCCTGAGCAAGAGTGAGACCCAGTCTCTACTAAAAAATATAGAAAGAAATAACTGGACTACTAAAAATATATAGAAAAACTTAGCCGGGCATGGTGGTGCATGCCTGTAGTCCCAGCTACTTGAGAGGCTGAGACTGGAAGATAGCTTGAGCCCAGGAGTTGGAGGTTGCTGTGAGCTAGGCTGATGCCACAGCACTCACTCTAGCACAGGCAACAGAGGGAGACTCTGTCTCAAAAACAAACAAACAAACTATATGATAATGTCATATAATACCAGATTCAGTGCCTTTTATGTCCTCTTGACAGCAGGCAGGCTATCTGCAAGTGAAAAAATAAAAAGTGGCCTACAATGCTCAAATTGACTAATCTGTGATTTATTTTTCCTGTAAGAGAGCACATGAAACAAATGCATATCAAATAATTGCTTGGTGACAACTCATTCTTACATTCTGCAAAATATTACTGAGTACTTACTGTATTCTAAGAATCACGTAGGGGACTGAAGACACAACAGTCTAGTGATCTAAGAGGAAAGAAACTTAATAATTAAACAAGCTATTATTTATTTTATAATGTGAAATAAGAAATAAAA